TAGTTTGATTTTCTCCAAAGATTTTTTTCCCAAGAGTGTTTTGTGTTTAGATTATATTTCAGCTGCTTTCCCCTACCTTCTCCTAAGTCAGCCTCCTTCCTCTATCCTGATTAACTAGAATTGGGACTACGGTAGAATAACCAATTGCTTATTTTTTTCACCACAAAACCATAGGTTGTCATGGCTTTTCTCCTAGACATTTTAGGAGGTTAGAACTTTTAATCAATTTATATGTAATATATATATTCATATATATATATAATATAATCAACTTATATCTATTGAGGTTTTAATCAAAGAGGCAAGATTTTTTTTAAAGGATTAGATTTACTTAGAGAAATTCATTAGGTATGACCATTTTCTCCTTTTCCTTCCTTACAGGAAGAAAACTCATTCTTAGTACATCTGTCACTTCTCTACCTTATACACTTCTGCTTTTGTAGTCCTATAGTCTCTGACAGCTGGATATTGTCTCATGAAATGATGATATATTCACATGAGAAAATTTAGGGTTACTTCTTGGAAGAAGTTGGAGAGGTATTGCGAATAGCCCCATATAGATCGTAGAGAATCAAAAAGTCACCTTGTATATCACCAATTAGTTGCAGAGATGTTGTAATACTATTACTAAGCACAATAATAATGATGATAGCTAACATTTTTGAGACTATAAGATAAGGGCAACAATAATAACAAAGTTATTGTTCACTTTATTCTAAAGACAACATTAAGTGTTTTGCTTGCATTATCTTATAACTCTTGACTAAGCCACCCTTTAAAAACAGTAGAATCTTCTGTTATTAGGCACCTCAGGATTCCAATTTGCAAAGCCAGGCTTTAACTCAATTCTGTACTTTTGTACCAAGAGTTCTCAAAAATTTTGGTCTCAAAACTCCTTTACACACTTAAAAACTAGGATTGAAAGAATTTTCATTTATGTAGGCTTATATCTATTGAGGTTTCTGTATTAGAAATTAAAATTGAGGGGCACCTGGGTGGCGCATTCGTTAAGCGTCTGCCTTCGGCTCAGGTCATGATCCCAGGGTCCTGGGATGGAGCCCCGCATCGGGCTCCCTACTCAGCGGGAAGACTGCTTCTCCCACCACTCCCCCTGCTTGTGTTCCCTCTCGCGCTGTGTCTCTCTCTGTCAAATAAATTTAAAAAAAAGAAATTAAAACTGAGGAATTTTTAAAAAATCATTATGTGTTAATTAAATAGCATTTTTTAATGAAATATAACTGAATTTTCTAAAACAAAACAAAAAATTAGCAAGAACAGTGCATTGTTATACTTTTTTTTTTTTTTTTTTGGCTAATCGCTTTAATGTCTGGCTTAACAGAAGGTAGCTGGATTGTCATATCTGCTTATGCATTCAATCTGTTGCAATTTGTTGTTTTAGTTGAAGTGTATGAAGAAAAACAGCCTCACACAGATATGTCATTGGACAAGGGAAGATTATTTTAATAGCCTTTTCATAAAATTGTGGATATTCTTCTTCAGTACTACCCAAACTCTACAAATGGTAGTTTCTTAAAGGTTAAATGAAATGTGCAATCTGAAACCATATCAATGAACTTTTCCTACTGTGTACACTAATACGGGTAAATGAAAGGGGTTGAGAACCTCTGTCATTAGCTTAGGAAGTTAAGAAACACCCGACCAGCTCAAGACTATGAGTAGACATATTTATGCATTATTTACTTCAACAATTGGCTTTCAAGCCTGAGACAGAAAAGAGACCATTGATTATTTCCTCCCCATCCTGCCAAGATATAGAGAGGATTAAGAAAATGTCTCCAAAGTGGTTGAGAGCTCTGGAATTAAATAAACATAAAATTGTGATCTTAAAGTTAAGTATGCTATTTCCCCTTGAATAAATTGAGATAAGAAATGAATACATCAATATGGTAGATGCTTTCTTAGAGTGAAATAAGGTAAACCTAATTGTACTCAAAGTCTTTAAAATTAGCCAATATTAGCAATGCTAAAATCATTGTGACTGTCAAATGCATTGCTAATTGTGTATCTGGAAATAAAAATTTCCCCCCTGAACATTCTATTTAAGGGAACTTACTATACTTTCCTCAGGAAAATTTAATGTATATTCTATTTTTTTAAAGGAAGAAAAATCACTTTTGTCTGACCACTGAGATCACAAAGCCTTACTTAGTTATTTGTGAATTTTGAAACTGCATGCTTCATCTTTGTATAAACTAAACACTAACCTGAATAAGAAATACATTTTTTCAACATTTACTCTTTTTTCTTCTCTTTTACTAGTATGCTTTAATAGTGTTCTATTTGCTTTGCTAAATAGTGAGATCAGTTTATTTCTACTTGAAGATATGCAAGAGTCTTTTCTGCCTATAAATTTTCAACCTATCAACTAACATTAGATTTTCATGACAGTAAGTCATTACTAATGATACACATTTACTTTATTACAATTTTTTCTTGAGGGTGGACAGAGAATGTTTATGAATTTGTATATGAAATTTTACTGGGAGAAATATCTTACTTGTAAATAAATGTATTCCATGTGATTTTTTTGTTAAAACTCTTTTTAATGTAGAATGGTCATCATTGATTTCTCCGAATATTGTTGATTTTCATTTTAGACAATTAAGAGATCATCCAAAAATTATTTGTTCAGAGGCCCTTTCCATTATGTGTAAGGATATGGGAATAGAGTCTCAAAAAATTCACAAACCATGAACCTAAAGCATTACTTAGCCTCCACCTTTTTTTTTTTTCTTAAACCAGTACCATGAGCATCAGAGCTAGAGATGAATATATTTGAGTTCTGTATCAGTGTGATACATTTTGTGGTAGTGATATCCATTTGTTCCCCACCCAGTACCCAAGGTTTTATGTGGCATATTTTAAAACTAACGTGTTACAAAATATTTGATGACATTAAACACTTTTCATAAAAGATCCTCTCTGTATCTTCCTGCTCAACTCTAAGTATCAAAAAACAAATGTTGAAATATTACTACATTAGAAAAAAATCAAATAAATTAATAACATTAGCAACTGCTCCAGAAATAATCCAAATGGAGGTGGGGGAAGCAGTAAGTTTGGGAACAGAGCCATTACATTTTTTGCTTTAAAACTTCTTTATAGATTTCAGGAAGTTAGACTCTTACATTTGAGCTCACATTGTTAAAAAGAAATAAAACTTTATGGATACTGAAGAAAATATGAACACTGGTCTCAGGTGTTTTCTGACAAACATGTGGTGTCTTTTCCAACACCAATTATCCAACTCTCTGATCCTCTGACACCAACTGGGTGTCCTACAATTCAGTCCTATTGTGACACCAACTATTTAGGGTTAACATCAGACTCCACAGGCTTTAAGGGCTCAGTCCCACAAAGCTGCCCTCACTTTCAACCTCTTTATATAAAGGATGGTCTAGGGACCCCAATCACAAGTACTGGGTCCCCTGGTTACCTGCCCTTCTGACTTGGCTACAAATTCGAGGGTACTAGCAACCAACCCACCCTCATCCCCATTCAAGTTTGATAATTGGCTACAATAACCCACAAAACTCAGGGAAATGTCATGCTATTACAGTTCATTATAAAAGATTAAGATGAAGAGGTAGATAGGGTGAGGTCAAAAGAGTCTCAAGCACAGGAGCCTCTGTCCCTGTGGAGTTGAGATTTACCATCCTGCCAGCACATTGATGTGTTCATCAACTTGGAGGCTCTCCAATCCCTACTGTTTAAAGATTTTTATAGAGGTTCCATTACATAAGCATGATTGATTAAATCATTGGCTATTGGTGATTGAATTCAATTGCCAGTCCCTCTCTCTGAAGATGGTGAGAGGAGAAGGACTGAAAGTTCCAACTTTAACACCCCCCTCCTGAAGCTATCTAGGAACCCACCAAGTCACCTCATTAGCATAAATTCAGGTATGTTTGAAAGGGGTTTGTTATGAATAACAAAAGATACTCCTATTACTCTTTATCACTCAGGAAATTCCAAGGGCTTTAGGAGCTCTGTTCAAGGAACCAGGAACAAGACCAAATATATATTTTAATATATCACAACTGGGTTTCCTCCAGGTAGTGAGGAAGAGGTTATGGAGGTATACCAAGGAGAGATATTTCTCCTTTCATGCTGAACATTCCTGAATCTCTTCCCTGGCCACACCTATATATCAGTTATCTATTGCTGCCTACCATATTACCCCCAAAACTAACAACATCCAATACCTCACAGTTTTGGAAGAAAAGGAATTTGAGCACAACTCAGATGGGTGCCTCTGGCTCAGTGTCTCCCACGAGGATGCAGTCAAACTGTCAGCCAGGACTGTGGTTTCATCTGAAGACTCTACTGGGGTGGACCATCTGCTCCCAAACTCACACACATGGTTGTTGGTAGAACTTGGTCCTCACCATGTGGACCTCCCCATAGAGCTGCTCAGAGCATGGCAGCTTGCTTTCCCCAAAGCAAGTGATCCAAGTAAGAGAGAACAAGAAAGGGCCCCCAAGATGGAAGCCACAGTCTTTTTATAACTTAGTCTCCAAAGTGATATCCCATTACTTCTGCCAATATATTCTGTTCGTTAGATATGAGCCAGTAAGTCCAGTCTACACTTTAGCAGAGGGAATTACACAAGGGCATGAATACCCAGGAGGTGGGATCATTGAGGCCTGTCTTAGAGGCCACGTACCACATCCACCCTAACATAATGGATCTTAATTTGGTAAATGATAAGAAATAGAGGACAACAGATGACAAAGAAATTTGTAAAGACATCGGTCTGGTTTCTTTGTCAATTTTACTCTCTCAAGATTCTCCAAAGTTTTGCTCAGAGTATTTTCACTGACCAAAACCAATTCTGATTAATTTTATACTCAGTAGCTGGGTCTAGCAGGAAAGCTGCATACAATCAAAGGGGTAAAATCCCAGTAAAAGTAAATCAGTTTAACTTTACTTATTTACTGCCAAATGAATAACAATCTCATATGCCCATCTTTTTAAAGGGAGAACCAGGTTTCATTGGTCCTCAAGGAGAACCAGGTTTACCAGGGTTACCAGGAACAAAGGTTAGTGGAGTTTTTTTCCTTCCTTTATTTCTGAAATATTTTGTCATATATTTTTAATCCATTGTGTTGAAAGAAGTGTGGAGTGACTTTATTGTTTAGGTGACCAGATATTTTTGCCTAATAGAGAACAAAAACACCTATCACCTACTACTAACACTTCTAACGGAAAACCATATTAAATAGAGTAATAGGAAGCTAATTCCAGAAAGCCTCAGGTAAGACAACAGGATAATGAAATATATTAGTTGCTCCTGTTTTCCCCAAATTGTTCCTAAATTGATATGATGCTGTTTGCCTCCTGACCATATGAAAAGGTGGGGGAATTCTGATGAGGAGAGATAGAACTCATTAACTGCTGCTCCTTATCGCCAATTTTAGGACATACTTATAAATCAAACATTATTATTATCCCCCTCCCCTTGCCCCCTGCTCACTCCCTAGATTTCAAAGGCAAGTACTGATGTCATATAGATTCCTAAGTGTCTCATCTCAAAAGGATCTATCGTGAATAATGTCTGAGAAAGATCCTGTAATGAAAACCATGTCATGATCTTACACTTGGCAACCCTAGAGAGGGACCTAAAAGCAAAATCTATATGCCACCATATAAAAAATTATGTTGCTGTGGATGTAGTTGGACCCATAGTTTTCTTTTTATCTACTCAGTAAGACATAAAAAGGTATGGATGGAACTTTACTCATGACAGACTCATGAATCAAAGGGGCAAAATTAGATCAAACTACATTCTTTTATTTTTAAACTGTAGAAGTCCTTGCCTCAGTGTGTATTGCATTCACCAGAAATAAGCCAGGATGATTTCTAAGAGCTAGGGAAATATGTTCATGGTCTGTTTTGACAGAGGGGTCCTCATTTCTGCTGATCAAGAAAAAATAACTCTAATCCTAGTAAATGGAAACTATGTGTGGCCTAAGGGGGACTGAAACTCAGTAGAATTTATGCAAAATTGCTGTTTTCTCAAGCAATTTCTTTTTCACATTATGAGCTGTCAGGCTTATTAACAAAATATGAGGAATGCCTGTTTTAGCCTGAACAGATTCACACAAGAAATGTGCTTTCTGGAATAAAGAGAGAGGAAGCAAGAGAATAATGAGAATTCCGTGTTCATATGAGAACTGTTGTATTTATTCAGGCTTGCTGCCTCAGAGCCAGGTAAAGAAAGAAGCCAGCCTCATAGATTAGCAAAAGAAATAGAAAACTTGGTCAATGCCAGAGAGAACCAGGTGTGAACTAGATCTTTAAATGTTTGTGGCATTTTGTTTGCTAAAAAGGGGGAAGTAGAAGAAACACAGGTAGTAGGGAATGGAGTTCATCCCTAAATATCATTTCTTTAGTTCACTGATTTTCAACTTCCCTGAAGTTTCAGGGCACCTGGCCAGCTCAGTCAGCAGACTATGAGACTCTTGATCTCAGGGTTGTGAATTCGAACCCCATGCTGGGTACAGAGATTACTTAAAAACAAAATCTTTGAACTATTCTGGAGTTGGAGCGCCTGGGTGGCTCAGTTGGTTAAGCATCTGCCTTCAGTTCAGGTCATGATCCGAGGGTCCTGGGATCGAGCCCCATGTTGGGCTCCCTGCTCAGGGAGAAGCCTGCTTCTCCCTCTCCTCCCCACTCATGCTCTAACTATCTCTGTTGCTGTTTCTGTCTCTCTCTCTCTCAAATAAATAAATAAAGTCTTTTAAAAAAATAAAAATAAACTACTCTGGGGTTTCAAAAAAAATCCAGGTGTAAAGCCACAAAATCAACATTGATTTCTGTTCATGAAGAACCCAGCCTGATTTTAACAGATACTGCTCTGAATTCCCAATAAAAGTAAAGAATGTTCTGTACTTGTTTTGTCTTTCCACAAGAAGGGATGTGGACAGGAAATTTGTTTTATTAACAATATTTTAACAATTATATTAACAATATGAGCAATTTTCAGCTGAATTGCTTAACATGAATTTGGTATCATAATGGAAAAGTCATGTTTATTTAAAATTCTCTCTGAGCCGAAGAGTGGCCTTTTTCCAGTTGTGTAGGCAAGTCTGGATTTGTACCACTAAATTCAGACTTCAAAAATAAACTAATCCTGCATATTTTATCCCCAACACAGTGAAGAGAGATTGTAAGGAAGGAAGTTGTATGATGGTATCTAAAAATTTGTTTTTATGTACTGCTGTTTCCTCAGCATCTGTATCAAGTGTCTGAGAGAAACCTATGTCAGTCTAAAGAAATGGGGTTTTATTACAAATAATTCAGAATATTTGAGTAAAATCTTTATTCATTAATTCAGCACATTTTTTTGCCAGAGATTTTTCTAATATTTAAGGATGAAGAGTAACTGCAACAAAAACTCTCTACTTTCCTGAAGCTTACATTCCAGTATATGTGAGACAGAGGTGGAAGGAGAGATAGAAGTAAACACATAAATAGTATAATTCCATAGGGTGACAAGCAGCTAATTAGGGGCATTGTGACAAAAAGTGATTCTAGGTACACATATATAGGCTCCATTCCTGTAATATGCTATAGATAAATGATTTTCTCAGGTTTTTGCTTTTCTTTAAAATAAGCTTATAATTACTACTTTAGAATTCTTCTGTAAAATATTAAAAGAAAGACCGAATATGGTACATTTTTTAAAAATTAAAATTCCATACACCAACAGAGACCCTTCCGTCTCTAATCCCTAGAAAATCCCTTTTGGAAGATCTCTTCCATTTCTTCTATCCAGACAAGTTCCTTGCCTTTCTCCCAGGCTCTCCATTTTCACATTCTTTTCAGTTCATGCTGAAGAACCTGCTGAGTCTTCTTTAATCCTTGCCCTAATCTATCCCATCTCCCCTGCAAAACCCCACAGGCATCCCAAAGTGGGCATGATACAGATAAAGATCTTGGAATTTAGAGCCCCAAATCACCCAGGATGGATCCAGTGCTATTTTATTCTCCTTTCCATGATGAATCAGTTCCTTCAGTGAGAAGGGTGGCTTTCTCACCCATAAACATGCCATCACCAGTCTGAATTCCAAACCTTTTTGATTATTGCAGTTCTACCTATCAGGCAGGAAGCGGACACTCTCTACTCTGTGCTTAGGAATGGAAAACAACACTGTCTTCCTGGAGAGCAATTTGGCAAGCTTTTCAAATGTTTGTACTTTTTGACCCAGCAATTCCCCAACTAGGAATTTATTCTAAGAAAATGACCAGGGGCGCCTGGGTGGCTCAGTCGGTTCAGCATCTGCTTTCGGCTCAGGTCGTGATCCCAGGGTCCTGGGATGGAGTCCCGCATCGGGCTCCCTGCTCAGTGGGGAGTCTGCTTCTCCCTCTCCCTCTCCCTGCTGCTCTGCCTACTCATGAGCTCTCTGCGTCAAATAAATAAATAAAATCTTTTTAAAAATTAAAAAAAAATTAGTCTAATCTTTAAAAAAATAAAATAACCAGATATGTGCAAAGATTTACATACAGAAACATTATGCAAAAAAATACAGAAGTTTGAGCACAGTTTTACATCACAGCTCTCCCACTTTAAAAGCTTTGTGATTTTGGCCAAGTTCCTTAACCTCTCTGAGCTTTATTCAGTCTCCTCATTTGTAGACTCTGAGAACCATCACCTTTCTCCTTTGTCCCAACGATTAAATAAGATAGCGCATGTGAAGTGTTTTAGGCAGCTGCTGGACTCATCAACAGCATAGTCATAAACAACAATAATTATAAAATACAACCTTTAGGACATGACTCAGATCTCACCTCCAGCAAGCCATTCTGGACCATTCAAAACCCTATGGGATTTCCTCTTCTCTCACCATTAGCCTTAATTACTCCTTAATTCTTAACTATTTTGTTTATATGGATCTTGTCTGTCTAACCAGATCATTAGCTCCTTGAGAGCAGTGATCATGTTCATACTTCATAGAGCTATGAATATAGTTAAAAGCTATAACACCTATGTATCTTACACCATTCTGAGCACTTTGCCTTCATAAATCGTGAGATCAGTACTATACTTTTCTTCACATTACAGAGAAAACTGAGGTTTTCAGAACTTAACTAATTTGTCCCAAACACGGAACTGGTAAATAACAGAGCCAGGATTAAAGCCCAGGATATCATCAAATTATAAAACCTGGCACTTAGCCACTTTGCCATGCTTCTCCCTGGCAGATCTTAAAAAGTGGCTACAGAATGAAAACTGTGTCCATGTCTGTCTTGAGATATAATGATGGTTCTTATCAATTCCCTTTAAAGGTCTTCCATTTACCAACATAGGTATCAGATAGGCATTACCAAACCATTTCCTTGTGTATAAAATAGGAATGATAATACAAACATTGAAAAATTGTTTTGATTATTAAATGAGATAACCCATGTTGAGATTAATACAATGCAGGATACATGGTAAATAAATGGTAACTCTGCGCCTTCCTTGATTTTATTGAATTCACTTGTTAATCTACAGGGACCAGCCTGGGGGGAAGGAGGAATTGCCATTTACTTGTTTTGTATTTTGTGACAGGGTGAACGTGGGGTGGCAGGGCCTCCTGGAAGAGGTGAGCGAGGGGAGCCTGGAGCCCCTGGACCAAAGGTCAGTTATTCTTGCATTGGAAGATAGTTTTCTTTGGTTTGGAAATGTGTCCTACTTACTTTAGAACACGAAACTAAAATACAGTTCCTCAACAGGTATTAAAACAGCAAAAATCACAATTTATTGAAATGCACACTGTTTGGTTCTTTTCAAAAGGAATTTTACAATTCAACTTTTCCAGTTTGTTCTGTCCAGTAAACAAATTTAATAACACATCCAAATGTAAAGAGGGAGGTACTGTCATATTAACATGCTATCACTCAGTGTGTATTAAAACTTACCTCTGAAACAAATAATACATTATATGTTAAAAAAAAAAAAAAAGAAGATAGTAGGAAGGGAAAAATGAAGGGGGGGTATCGGAGGGGGAGAGGAACCATGAGAGACTATGGACTCTGAGAAACAAACTGAGGGTTCTAGAGGGGAGGGAGGTGGGGAAGGGGTTAGCCTGTGATGGGTATTAAAGAGGGCACATATTGAATGGAGCACTGGGTGTTATACGCAAACAATGAATCATGGAACACTACATCAAAAACTAATGATGTAATGTATGTTGACTAACATAAGAAAATAAAATTAAAAGAAAAAAAAACTTACTGAGAAAAATGTTGATACGCATTGTGTTAGTTTCTGTGGTAACTTGAAATTGTAGAACACCCTGAAAATATCAGAGCTAAGGATTTATTTCACTATTCAGTCTTTATTCCTCTAAACTTCCTATAAACTAATATGGTAACACTTTATTCTAATAACCCATCCTAGAGACACAGGAAATGGTTTACTCTTTGATGAAAAAGAAATCTATGCCAACACTGTTGAGACTAATGAGGATTATTCATAGAACTCTTCCCATCCATGATGGGTGGGCAGTCTTCAGAATTATAATGGAATGAAGGTGGTGGCGAGACCAGAGAATGAGCTAATGATATGGTGATAACTACTTATGCTTTGTATTATAATAGCCAAAATTATGTCCAGCCATATATTGAGGCAGTTACAATAAAGTGTTTCCATTTTTCATTTTTCTGAGTCACTGCTAATTTCTTTTTTCTGTTCTTATCTCCTCTGTTATTTCTCTTTTCCATCTTCATATTCTGCTATAATAGGGGAAACAAGGTGAATCAGGAACTAGAGGCCCAAAGGGGTCAAAGGTCAGTAACCAAGTAACCATTTTAATGTCACATGAGGCCTTCAAGAGCTGTGCCTTTTGCCTCTTCCACAGAGAATCATGTTTTAAATTCTCACACACTGGGATTGCAATATTTTCATCCCTGTGATACTATCTCAAAACAATTGGTTTGTTTCATCTTGTTTATTTTTGTGTGTTCTTGTGCTTCTGACTATTCTTTAAAAGAAGTTGTATTTCCTGTTTCATGAGAATAGCTTCTTGGGGGAAAAAAAAGGACTTTATTTAATTTACATTATGTAGGGTATAATCTCATTTATTTCCTGGCTGTCTTTGTGATAAATGTTCAAATTATACTTTGCTTTTAAGTTAGTTGATTCCCTCCATGGCATTAAAATTTCACCGCTGATTGAAATTCTTTCCTTGATCGTAGTCTTTATAATATTTGCCATTATCTATATACTACTGCTAACTACTGTTAGCAGAATCATGTTATTTAAGATGCTATCAGCTAATAACATGAAAAAAATGGGTAAAAAATGAGGAAAACAGAGAGTAGAAATTATTAATTCTCTATTCATAACAAATTTAATTATTATGGTCAATGTTATTCATATAATGTGGGTGGAAAAAAATCAAAAACCCTTTTCCTGCTTACTTTCATTGGTCCATATCCATTTTATGAAATATGTAGAAAGATATAGTAAAATGCTTTGAATTACACCTAGGAAAAGGACACTACAAATTTAAGGCTGTCTTAAAAAACTTTCAAGTTGACACAGGTTCATATATATCTCTACTCCAAAGTTTTTCTTTAGACTTAGGAGAATTTTGAGTGTTCTCAGAGTGATGCCTGTGTGGTTTGTGCATGGACTATTCCTGGTTTCTCTCCAGGCTGGGTCATAACACCATGAATGGAACTTTAGAGATTTTTCATCCTGCATTTGAAAAACAAAGCTGGCTTTGCCCTACCCCTGACCTTCAGCCCTGCCAACCTGCTCTAACTAGCTGCTGTCCACTTCAGCACCTTCTGAGTGTTAAAAGGCCTATACCTATAGACTTTTCCTTAGATCTTCATCATCATCAAAGAGAGGCCTCACTGATGACCTTTCCCTTCTAAACCTCCCAAGACTGAGCTCTCCATTCCTTCCCTGTCCAGGTTATCGACACATCTTTTTTTTTCTCAGAAAACAGACAACCCAATTGATCGGCTCTTTTTCCCTTTGCCCCAAATCTCTTAATATAAAAACAAGAACATGGCTCAGTCTGAGAGATAAAAGCTTACTTTGGGTATCATAGAAACCACTTGCTTTGCTTTTGAAAATCTCTAGTAAGAAAGTTACCGTATATATTGTTGTTCCAAGATACTCATCTGAAGGGGAATTTACGGTGCATCTTTAAAAAGTATTTTCTATGTCAGTGGTTTTTGTTCTTCTAGTTGTTACTTCCATGTCAGAAGTTCATAAAAAGGTGCTGCTGCATGGTATTAAATACATCCTTAGATTTGAGAAATTTCTGGACCATTGGCCCCACTACTAATTCAGTTTTTTCTATTTTCACTGGGGAAAGGGTGATCATGGAGAGAAAGGGGACTCTGGAGCCCTGGGACAAAGGGTGAGTACACTTCTCATCTAAGCTTTTGGCCCCTACAAGCCCAGATTTGACTCATGTGTCCACGTGGCTTTTCACATGGCACCTGGACTAATATTACCCAACAACAGCACTGGAGGTAGACTACTGATTATTTCTGCTGCTTCCCCTGTTTTTCTTATTTTTTATTTTGGTCACCAGGTGCAATGAGTATGTAGAGTCTAACACATAAAATAAGCTCCACAAGAAGAAGGTCTAAAGAACTCTTTCTATCTACTTTCCCTCTGCTAACTGAGCAATAACAAGCCCATAACCATCCAGCTAATAGAATTTTCCATTTTTCAATTAAGTCCAATTATAAAGAAAGCAATAGCCCATATTTTCAAAGCCTTTTTTAAAGATAGGCAGGAAATTAGGACATGACTAATGGAAATCCAGTGGCAGAGCTATTGTCTAGGGTAGACATCTTATATCTGTACCCTATTTTGCTTTAATTTTAATGGAATTCTGTTCCTACTGAGAAAGCCAAGCATTTCCTACAGAACATTGTTCTATCTTCTTAAAGAATGAGGAAATAATCAATGAGATGTAGAAGTATAGAAAGAGATTAGGGGTTGCTTTAATTTTGTTGTTAAAGCCAACAAAACATTGCAAGTCAAATCAGATTAGCCTACATTTTATAATTTTCAGAAAACAGCTTCAGAAATTGAATCATCTCTTTTTTAAAAAAATCAGATTTCGTATCTTTAATCTACCATCTATAGGAAGTTAAAACCGCTGTCTCCTTTGCAATAAGGACAAAATTTGAACGTGATTACTCTGAAGTGCTGTTGGGCCATACAACGGAATAGATCAGAGAGAGCTGCATGTTGCTATTTTTGTTTTTGCCACAGTCCCTTGTACAGCCTAGCTTAACTTCCATGATTTTCCCTTGGTTGGTTTTCTTCACAGGGTCCACCTGGTCAAAAGGGAGATCAGGGAGCCACCGAGATCATAGACTACAATGGCAACCTCCATGAAGCCTTGCAGGCAAGTGACTGCCCCCTCCCCTGACACAGAGACACTAATGAACACCCATGTAATATGTGTAAATATCAGCTCCCATGCCCCATGCCCCAGGATCCCAGAGGGCTCCACTATTCCAAGCACACCCTCTTCCTGAGCCCATCCCCTTCTCCATGCCCCGGTGTATGCTCTTTATTTCATAGCATTTTTCAGTCTTTCCTTTTCTTTCCCTTCTGCCTTCAGATATGCTTTAGTGTTATCTGGTTTAAACCTTGTGCTCATTTTGCCAATTTTTGTCTCCTTGCTTCAAAAGGAAGCCTCGCAAAGCAATTAAGAGCCCTGTGGCTCTAGAATCAGAGTTGCCTGGGTGCAAATCTCTTGCTTACTAAGTGCATGACTGAGGGCAAGTTATTTAACTTCTCTGTGCCTCAGTGTCCTCACCTATAAAATGGGGATAGTAGTAGTACCTGTCTCAAGAGTTGTTATGAGGGGTGCCTGGGTGGCTCAGATGGTTAAGTATCTGCCTTTGGCTCAGGTCATGATCCCAGGGTCCTGGGATCAAGCCCCATATCAGGCTCCTGGCTCAGCGGGGAGCCTGCTTCGCCTCCTCCCTCTGCCTCTCTCCCTGCTCATGCTCTCTCTCTCCCTCTCTGTATCTCTGTGTCTCAAGTGAATAAATAAAATCTAAAAAAAAAAAAAAAAGAGTTGTTATGAGAAATAAAGAGCTAAATACATATAATACACTTAGAGCAGTGCCTGGCACATACTAAGTCCTCTGTAGGTATTTCTTATTTCTATTACCATTCATAATATAATGTATTACCATAGAGAAATACCTATAGAGTAAAAATCCATAGACCATGTGGCTTGTCTCCATCACCTTTGCTTTTTGTTCATCCTTTCATGCTTGGACTCCTCCATTGTAGCCTGCATCAACATTCTGTTGAAACTTCTCTTATAAAGGCCATTAATGACCTCTAAGTCAAGCCCATTGTACTTCTCACCCTTGATTTTCTGTGACATTTCTACTAAACCACCTTCCTTTTGAAACTTTTTCTTTCTGGTTTTTCTAATCCTCTACTCTCATTTCTTCTAGTTTTCTGCTTTGATAGATCCATTCTATGTTAGTATTTCCAATTTCTCTGTCATCCCCTAATTTTTGGTATACTCAAGTCTCTGATCTTTTCTTGGTTCAGTCACTCCCTCTGTGTTCTTCTGGGCTGTAGCTTCCAAATCTTTCACCTCTGGGTCTAAGCTGCGGGTACCTCCAGCTATCTAAGAATATTTCCACTAGGAATGCACCATTGCCTTATCAATTTCTACCAACACACACAATTATATTGGTCACTTTTCCCACCAATCAAATGATTCCCTTTTTTAACTAATCATTGTCTGTTAGTGATACTAAAATTCTTTGACTTTCTTGAAATAGAAACTTTAGAGTCATTTTCAACTATTGTTAGTCCTTCATTCTTTACATCTCACCACATGCTGCTATTTCCTTTCTCAAAGTGTCTCCTAAGGTTATCTCATTCTCTGCATTCCCAACTTGGTCCACATCCTATTTGTTTCAGGGCTAACACTGCAACAGGCCCTTGACCAACTCTCCTAGCCCTAGTGCCTCCCTGCCCTTTCTAACCCATTCTGCATATCACTCTAAGACTAATTTTCCTAAACTATCTCTTTTTCAATGGCTCTAATCTGCTCAGAAACCTCAATGACCCCCTTACCTACTCTATCAAGCCTGACCTTCATCTGACTTTCAAAGCTCTATAATCCTGCCTTTCCTGTATGGAATTTTCCATTTCTCTGAAACACAAATTTTCCCCAAGAGTGGGCATATTTACCATATCCATAAAAATCACCCTTTTTTTTGCCTGGTTTATCCCATTCTTCTTCCCTTTCTCTCATCCATCTAAATCCCATCCAACAATGTACTGGTGTCACCTAGATGATTCTTCCTTTTGATCCTTTCAAACATTAGCAGTCAGGTCCCCAGTAGCTTAACCTTTAATTGTTGTCAAATCACATAATTTATTTTAGTCCTGCCTCTTACCAGACTGTAAGTTTCTTGGTGACAGAAATATGTCTCATGCTTATTTTATATCCTCCAATATACCTGGCACAGGTCTGGGCATGTAAATATTGAACAAATGGTTACTGATTGATGAGTGAGTACACTTAGTGTATATGTACAATCCATTTCTTTGCTTGAAAGCCACATTAATTTTAAATATTTGCCATTTTGTACTTGATTGAGTTATTTCCCCCATCTTTATGATTTCACTCCTAGTATCTAATGTGATAGATCTACATTTCTATGGGTCCTTTGCTACAACTACCATTTTTAACTAGTAAAGCATCTATTAAATAGTTTTTGCATCTGCCTTCAGCTCAGCCTATTTTTCTTTTCTTTTTTTTAAAAAAGATTTTATTTATTTGAGAGAGAGCAAGAATCATGGGGGTAGGGATTAGGGGAGCTAAGGGAGAGGGACAAGCAGATGCCATGCTGAGGCAGAGCCCAATGCAGGACTCCATCTCACCACCCTGAGATCATGAGCTGAGCCGAAATCAAGAGTCAGACGTTCAACCACCTGAGCCACCCAGCCGCCCCTCAGCCTATTTTTCTTTTCATTTCATTTTTTTTCTTCTGGTAAAATACAAAGGGAAGCATACTTACTGCTTGGAGATATGTTGCTTGGTCAGCATGTTCAGTCAACAGCTTGAAATAGTGCTCAATGCAAGTGGATAAGACTTAAGCAGTAGCCTCTAGGCTATTGTCAAGTTCTAGAACCAGATTTCTAAATTGTTCCTTTTTTTCCCACAAATTGATAACTGCATGTAGAAGAAAAGAGAAGAAGAGAATAAAAAGTTTTGATATACCTACTGTGTTTTCAAAGCTTTTACTTACAAAATATAGGGACATATTTTTAAACTTAATTTATTAGCAATGTTGTAATTTCCCTTCAACTTCTTTCAGTGACACTAGAACTCATACTACTACTTTTAAAAGGTGTACATTCTCTTAGTTTCCAAGAAATGCTCTGATATTTTAGGCTATGGCCATTTTTGGAAAAATTGTGTCTTTTAAAGTAACCTTTGCTTAAACAGAGCCAGGCATGAAGCAAGCTAAAACCTAAAACCAAAAATCTGTTTTCATCTCCCCTTTGCTATTAACTAGCGGAGTCATTTTCGGGAAATCACTTAGTGTATCTATACTTCATTGATCTTATTTGTAAAGTAAAGATGTTTTGGAATAGATTTTTTCTAAGAGTCCATAAAATATGGATATGGAAAAATGCTTAGGGTCATTTTTTAGGAGTTCCTGAACACTCTTGGCTAATATGTGTAAACGCACTATACTTTTTAAAAAAATTAACACCTAGGTCTTGATATGAAATGGTGTATATGCTCAGTTTCTTCTTCCACCTCAAGTTCTATATGACAGTAAACCAATCAATATCCATCATAGTTCATGTTTCTCCATGTATCATCCAAACTAGTTCATGTTTCTCAACCTAAAGATTTATTGTTTTAATAGGGATGTTAGGGCAACTATGTGTTATGCTCGTAAATAGCTTATAGTTATTTTTTTAAAACTATTTGTTTTCCTGATATAGTACTCTACTGGAACAAGGACCCCCTAATAAAATTAATTAAGCCATTAGCCTGCGAAGAGGTAGTAGACATTTTTTCTTCTATTCTTAACCAGTGATAGATATTCACCATTTTACCGATTTCGTTTTGTTTTAAAGATTTTATTTATTTATTTCAGAGAGAGAGAGAGAGAGCACAAGCGGGGTGGGGCAAAAGAAGAGGGAGAGAGAGAATCTCAAGCAGACTCCCCACTGAGCGTGGAGCCCTGACTCAGGGCTCAATCTCATGACCTGAGCCAAAATCAAGAGTCAGTCGTTCAACCAGCTGAGCTACCCAGGTGCTCCACAGATTTCATTTTATTATCTCCTCCTCTAAAAATAAATCTGCCCCCCAAAATCTAGAATAATTAGGTAAATAGGTGTATATTACAATTATAAAAACATCACATTAGAAATATAAAATTTGACCATTGCCTCTATTGAAAATTGTTATTTACATAAACATCTGCCATAAGCCATTTATTTTGATTTTTAAGTTTCCAAAATTAGCAGTAAAACCTTTCTATTTCCTAACTCAAGTTTTTAAAAACGTTCAATACCATCTAACTTAAACCTATTGTCTAGTGTAAATATGGGTGATTTTCAGCTTGCATCATTTGAGAAACGAAAGAAAAATAACTTTTAATTCTAAAGAAATTCACATAAGCATCTCAGGGAATAAATAAATCACAAAACAGCCTGTAAGGCTTCAACCTGTTTATAATTGCTCCAGTTCATGTCTCCCATTTCACATCGTGCCTCATAGAGAACAAGGTGTCTTTCTCCATCACTACCAAAAATTCTGGTTTTCCCATCATTCCTGGAGTTCGAGAGATAACACTGTTGAGTTCACATAGGTTTAACTTAGACATCCAGAGTGAGTCAACATCTTTAGGATGTGTCTGTGTGTCTGCACATGGGTGCTTCAGGATGGTGGTAAAAACTATGTTGTTTAGAAGTTAAGCTTAGTTTGTCATTTGTTTTTTTTATTATTAGCTGGATGAAACCTACCCTATGTAACTGTTAGGTCTCACAAAATGTAGTTATTTAACAAGATGACATAAACTCCATCTGTTAGATAGTACAGTTACCATTAATAATATGCCTTTATTAGGCAACTCATTATAAAACATGTTGTTATCCTTACATTTTAAAAAAAGACAAACTAGTTTTGTGTCCAGGTGGAAAATGAATTCAAATATGATGCATTTGGAAAATGTCAGAGAGTTCAAATTGTAAAGTCCCTTCCCTTTCTAAGGTTTTATGATTCTGCTTTGTAGTTAAAAATATAATATATAATTGGAAGGCAGTGATAAAGAAATTATTTCTACTCTATAATATTCTAATAGCCTTTTTTAAAATGACTCACCTACTTATAGGAGCAAAGAAGTAGCTTTCTCATAACCATAAATCTGACTCCTGCTCTAGGTGAATCCCTTAAGAATAAAGTAAGTGGGGCCTTATGTTACACAAATATGATAGTATAAAAATCTGGACCTTGATTTTTTTTTTTTAATTTTAAAATAAAAAAAAATTTTTTGCCCCCAATTTGTGACCACTTTTCCTTTTGTCTTAGAAGAACTGGTGGTGTTTTTTTTTTCCCTACTGTGTTTTCCATGAAGCTGTAATGACCACGACTGATTTTATCATAGAATACAAACTTTAACCATTTGTACACATGCATAAATATATTGTTTTCTAAGGAATGATGACACCATGTCACTAGAGACCCAAGTGTTTGAAGCAAGATTGGTAATATTAAGATTATTTTTTACAACAACGATAATAAACAACAGCAGCAACCTGAATCAAAAATTGGAATGGAGGAGTGGAAAACAAAAGGATGGTTTTAAACCAATATTCACAACTTTACGAATAACTGGGTAACGTTTTTCTGTGACCAGAGTCGCTGATGGAAAATGTGCTCCCTCTGTGACCACATCAGGGGGTTATGGGCCCTACAGAACTTTTAGCATGAGTGGTGCCTGGGTGGATCAGTTGGTTGAACGATCAACTCTTGATTTCAGCTCAGGTCATGATCTCAGGGTGGTGAGATCGAGACCCACCTGGGGCTCCATGCTGGGTGTGGAGCCTCCTTGAGATTCTCTCTCTCCTTCTCCCTCTCCCTATGCCCTTCCTCACCGACCCCCCCCCCCTCCGTCCCTCTGGCCACACGTCTTCTCTCTCTCTCTCACACACACAACACAAAAAGAACTTTTAGCACAAGACTTAGTCTAGAAAACATTAATGCAGAAATGATTCATGGATTAAGGATGAAATGTTGTGGAAATTCATACTTAGTACTTTTCACTAAGAAATTGGATGAATTCCATGTCAACTCCTCTCTTTAGCCATGGCACCCAAAAAAGCTAATTATAATGCAACAAATAAGCTAAAGTCTAAAAAAGAAAAATAATATTGCTTATACATACAATTGGATATTTGTTTTCTCTAATTGAACTGCTCTAGAATGAAACTTTTGTGAATAGCAATTTCTCAGTGCACAGTCATGCCAACAAAGCTCTATGGTATACCATTTTACTACATAAATTTTTTTAATCAGGTGAATTAAAATTTTGACATTTTCTTTTTTCTTTACACATAGATTTTTTAAAGAAAAATCTAAAAATAGTTTAAAAAACAATCTTATCAGGTGATGAATGACATTCTGACCCCTGCTCCCCCCAAAATCTTTACAACTATACTATATTCATTTAAAGATAGGATATGTTTTCAGTATCTTGTCAGTCCCTTATAAGACATCACACTTTCCAGAACATATTCAAAAATTGATTTTTTCAGAAATGTATTATTGTACTTTAGCACACAAAATAGGTAATTCTGTCTTTGTCAATACATTTTCCCAACAGAGGATTACCACCCTAACTGTCACGGTAACTCCCGTTGCATGATTTCTGTGGTCTGTGACTTCGTATTTGGTGTTGATGCATGCCAGTCATAATGGTACTAATGTAGCACTTGTTTTTGTCTGATATTTAGTTTTATGCTTCCTTATATCCTTTTATAACATTTACCCCAATTAAACCATTTGTTTGCTTAGTGAAAAAGACCAAAAAAAAGTTATTGTTACTTTTCTTAAAACCTTTGGCCTTATAATAATATAGCTGTGTTCCTTAGTGTTTGAGAAATCAAATCCCTTGTGTGTGGGGGGAGGCCAGGTGTCTAGAAACACAGGTAATATTAGTAAGCTAACTCATCCCAAGGAGATGAATGTGGGACACAGCAGCAATTTTGCATTATCTTATAGAATAAACTCAAAAGCATCTTCAGTGTTATTTTACCTAAATGTATTGATATTTTTGCATATAAGTAAGTCATTTTTATAATTCCATAGCTGGTTAAATTTGTCCTCATTGCAAATTAATATTGGGGGATGTTTGATTATGACAGAAATAAGGGAAGTATATAGTGTACTTACTATTTAAAGCATAAATTGCAATACATATACTTGCTACTTTTTATAACTTTGTCTTTTCTTGATTTAGGGTCCCCCTGGACCACCTGGACCTCAAGGACTACAAGGGCCAAAGGTTATTCTTTATTTTACTTGTTTCCATTTACCATATATGGTATAGAGAATCCCACCTTAAATATATGTATCTTTGAAAAATCATTCTTACAAAATGCTGAAGGAGCTGAGATCACAATATTGCTTAAGGCAGCTAAGAATAGACATTGAGGTCTGGGCTGAAGGAAGCAGGATTGAAGAAAAAAAAGGAAAATTAGAAAAGAAGGGAGAGAAATAAGAGTAACATTAAATTTAGAGGGAGGACACTGAGAAAAACAGAATATTAAACAAGGGAAAAACAAATCTTACAGAAATTATAAAGGTAAAAGAACCACTAATGTAGTGTATGAAAAAAGGAAAATATTTCTATAGAGGAGGATTGAAGGAAAATTTACTCTAACACTGAAAAAGATTTTTCCCTTCAATTCATTTGTAATAAAAAGAACAAGAGAAGCTTTAACATGATGTATTCACAGATGATGATTGGAGGAATCATTTTTGAGTCATTTTTTATAACATATCCTATTATATTTATTCAGACATTCTGCCATTTAAATCTTATCTAATGAAACATAGCACCTATGAATAGCAGAAAACTAGAATTACTTGATTATATTTCAAATTTATTAGTGGTGTTAGCTTTATCCCTCCAAACTTAAACTTAGTTGTTTAACCACATTTGAGCAATTAACACATGGCCAGTGTCTCTAGTTTTTCAGAACTGAGCTATGTTTGTTGAAATATGACTAATCATTGGAGTTCTGTTGGAGATTCAAGTAGTTTTGAAATTCATCTTTTGTTGGTGCCTTTTAAGGCAGTTTATTTGCTAAGTCTGTCATACACACACATACACACACACAGCTTTTGTACCCTTCTCTTTCAAGATACTTAAAAACAGAAAGCTAGCACATAGAAAGTTCTTTTTCTATTATAAAAAGGAGTATAAAGTAAAATATTGCTGAGGTCCTTACTCATGTAAGATATATTTAGAACATGGAGCCTAATTTCAAACAGATCTCATGTAAAACATAAATGTAAGGTTTGGGGTTTTTTAACTTTCTATTTCTCTATCACATTCTGGTCCCTAAGAAATGTAACACAAAAATGCTCCAGTTATTTGTTCCTGGTAAGCATGTCAGCCTGGATCCCTACTCTCTAATATCTTGGTGAGCTGGATTAGACAACCAAGAAGGAAATCTGCAGATTCCTTTTTCATCTGTGTAGAGTCAACTAGGATCTAAGTTCCTTGTTCTTCTCCTCACTTGAGTAAGTCTCCAGAACCAAAATTGGCCTCAGTGCTAAACACACCTCAAGAGCTACTAGGACTTTACCCTTCTTTAAAGCCCAAAGGATCTACAGAATTCCAAAGGGTACCCCTCCCTTGTCCTAAAGAGACAAAAAGATTACCCTTTTGATAGGCAAGTAAAGGCACTTCTTTGATGAAGAATACATGCTATGGATGTGCATATGGGAAGGCTACTCTCAGTCCTGGGAATCAAGGATGACTTTTGGGCTGAAACTGAGATAGGAGGACGCTGGCCAAATGAATGTCATGACAAGTGGGTTGTGGGAGGGGATCAGTCAGACTCCCTTACCTCGCACCCCTGCCAGCCTTCCTACTATGCGACCACTCTGCCCCACCCCACACAAGGCACAATGATCTCATAATTGAGCTCTTGGACTGACTGATACAGTCTTTCAAGCTTTCCATGATCTCTCCTTGGGAAGGTTGGGATAATTGAGGGGCGATGTGCCTATGGCTAAGAATCAGCAAATGCAGCCCGAGTCAAATATAGAACCCATTTGCACCAGGGACTTACAACCTCAGACTGAATGGGAACTATTCCATCAGTGTTTCTCTTTCCTTTATCAAACCAGGATCAGTTGACTTCTTACACATCAAGTAACTCTCTAAACTACATTTGATGAGTGAAAGATAAATTCATAAGTCATGAGTTACGTTTTCTTTTAAACACTCACGGGTCACATTTTGAAGGTAAAAGCTTAGCAAAACAATCATTATTGGACCCAGAGTGCTGACAAGTATTCAGACTGAGTGAAATGAGGTCTTAGCCAGGTGCATCCAACCTCAGCAGACTTGCTTGTGGCAAAATAAACTTTGCTGCTACCACAAAGAACCGGAAATCAGGAGTAAGGAAAGACTTTTCCTTTTTTTCCTTTTTTTCATTTGTGGTTTTTTTGTTGTTGTTTGGTTTTTTTTTTTTTGCATTTGTTTGTCAGGCTTTCTTTAAACATTGGAAAGCTCAAATTTCCTGCTGTGGCTGATAGCTCTTACAGTTTTTACTGGGGAAATGATCTAACAATTTCAATATAATGAGATCTACAAAAGTGATGCATTGATCTAAAATAATATTTTACCTTTCAAAGAATTTGTTTGTTCAGCACCTTTCCAAATGAAAAGTGACTGGGCATTTGTTGTTTGAATAAATATCTAGCTCATTGTTTACATTTGTTTTTAATGGGACATCTTCAGTTAAGAAAAAATAAATAGATAGACTTTGGGTTTGTCGAGATTTCTAATAAATCATATGAATAGTAAACTTTAATTCATACCTAGCATAGTATAGGTAATTGAATCGATCCAAAAGTAATTTTATGTGGATTAAGATATTATCTGATTGATTCTATCAGAGAAAGACATGTATCATATGACCTCACTAATATGAGGAGTTCTTAATCTCAGGAAACAAACTGAGGGTTGCTGGAGTGGGGGGTGGGGTGGGAGGGATGGGGTGGCTGGGTGATAGACATTGGGGAGGGTATTGCTATGGTGAGCGCTGTGAATTGTGCAAGACTGTTGAATCATAGATCTGTACCTCTGAAACAAATAATGCAATATATGTTAAGGAAAAAAAAAAAAAGAAGATAGCAGGAGGGGAAGAATGAAGGGGGGGAAATTGGAGGGGGAGACGAACCATGAGAGACGATGGACTTTTAAAAACAAACTGAGGGTTCTAGAGGGGAGGGGGGTGGGGGAATGGGTCAGCCTGGTGATGGATATTAAAGAGGGCACGTTCTGCATGGAGCACTGGGTGTTATGCACAAACAATGAATCATGGAACACTACATCAAAAACTAATGATGTAATGTATGGTGATTAACATAACAATAAAAGTTTTTTTTAAAAGATATTATGATTGATTCTATCTGGAAATACACATTCACAATCATGAACCTCTATCCATTGTTCAAATGGTATCAGTTAAAATATTGTAAACTTATGGGGCTTTGCATTCTGTTCTTAGGTCAACTGTCATGTTTTTGCTTTTTTCTCAAGTTGGAAAATGAAGAGAAATCATACAGATTTTTTAAGGAGAAAAAAATTAACTAAGGCATATAGGTTGTTTTTATAGAATATGGTCAGCTACCAAATAATCTCTATCAGTTTTTCTTTCACCATTTTTTCCTTTAGCCTACATCTCACTTGGGGCAAAAAATAAAAACATTGGATCTTAGCTACTTATAAGTATTGTTATATATAATCTTCAAGAAAATGTTATTTCACTTAGTTTTGATATGTGTATGATGTAACGAACTGTTCCTGGGTTATGATGCATTTGCTGAAAGTCAAATTGTACTGTCACCAGCTAACATGACTTTTATTTACCAATGATAAATGGAGGCAAGCCATCACTTTTTATATTAACAGGGAGAACCAGGATCTCCAGGAATCCCAGGAGTTGATGGAGAGCAGGTAATTTTCAAAGATATATACTATCATTTAAAGCATCATAATTGATCACCACTTTTATTATAGATTTGGAGCCAAAAAGACATGAGTGTTGATATATGATATCCTCTCTCTTTTTTCACCATCTGTTGTAGAGATTACATTAACTCTAAAAAGCAATTGGTTTTAAATTAGACATTAGTTTTCTTTGCAGAAACATATAAGCAATAATGACATTTTAGTTTTGTCTTAATACTCCTTATCAATCTACCAGTGACACTTCAGTAAATTTTTATTAGACTTATAAGATCATTACCAATTTAGTAAGAATAGGCTAATTTTTGCCAGTGAATACAAATCATTCAAGATTAAAATCACTCAATCAAAGTTTCCACAAAATTAGATATTGCTTACATACGTTATTTTGACAATATTTTTTCCCAAATAAAGATTACACCTAAATTTCAAGATCATTGGAAAAAAACAGAAACAAGTTGGGTATTTGTACCTTCACAGAATATGGCAGTATCTCCAAAGGTTTCCCTTAAAACAGAGGTTGGCCAACTTTTTCTATAAAGGACCAGATAGTAAATGTTTTAGGCTTTGCAGGTCACATAGGGTTTTTGTCACGTTTGTTTTTTATCTGAACACCCCTTAAAATTTTTTTCAAAGATTCAGGCTGTGCAAAAATAATCCCTGGGCTGGATTTGGCCTAGAAGTTGTGGTTTACCTCTGCCCAAAAAGAATCTGACTAGGAGAATGTGGACACTATGGGGAATTCAGAGTCAAATCACAATGGTTAGCTTCAAGATATTTGATGTTTTATGGGCTTCCATTATTTACCCAAGAAATGGCTAAAATCAAGAAGATCAGGGGCGCCTGGGTGGCTCAGTCGTTAAGCGTCTGCCTTCAGCTCGGGTCATGATCCCAGGGTCCTGGATCGAGCCCCGCATCGGGCTCCCTGCTCAGCGGGAAGCCTGCTTCTCCCTCTCCCACTCCCCCTGCTTGTGTTCCTTCTCTCACTGTGTCTCTCTCTGTTAAATAAATAAATAAAGTCTTAAAAAAAAAGATCATAAGAAATCAAAAAGATTCTTCATATAGTTGGCAAAATATGCTCCCCAGGAGACAGTATTAGATAAGAAATTAAGACTGATGATGTACTGTATGGTGATTAACATAACATAATAAAATTAAAAAAAAGAAATTAAGTTTAAGAGTTATTTTAGTATCAGAGTTGAATGTTGAAATCCTATAATGTCACATTAAATAAATGTGATAATTTAAAAATTAAGAGACTTTAGATGATTTGCTATTATTAATCAGAAATCACATTAGAATTTAAAAATCTGGTTGTATTAGGGCACCTGGGTGGCACAGTTGGTTAAATGTCCAACTCTTGGTTTCAGCTCAGGTCATAATCTAAGGGTCCTAAGATAGAGCCCTGCATTGGGCTCTACACTCAGCTTGGGAGTCTGCTTGGGATTCTCTCTCCCTCCCCCAGTACCTCTCCCACTCATGCTCTCTCTCTCTTTCTCTCTCTCTCTCTCAAAGAGAATACAAAGAAAAGCTAGTTGTATTCCTTTCCCAATGTTAGTCATTAAAAATAATTAATCTGACATGCAGAGTAACATACTACATGGTCCCTACATATACAATAGCTGGATTTTTTTTTTCTATAAGCTTCACAAGGTCTTCTTCTGCTATTAAGTCTAATAGCAGAGGTTGGCTACCCTGCTGCTCTCCATCACTAGCTTCCTAAAACCAACCAGGAGCTGATTAACCAGTAGGATCCATCTGCCCATTCAGATACCTACCCAGCCACCCACCTAGCGAGTGATTCTGAACTAAGTGCTATAGGTAAAAGTAAAGAAAAGACGTGTTCCTGTCCTTAAGTAGTTTGTAGTATGGAAAAGATGAACAGGTTTGTGCAGCCAGGGGCCCCTGACTATCAAAACTATGATCATCCCTGCTCAAGAATGGGCCATCTGGTCATAGGATAGTGAAGACCCTTGGATGAAAATGCTTAACAATATAAATTAACTTCAGTATTCTTATTATTACAAAATTCAGATTTGCTAGCACTCAAAAAATACATCTGTTTTCTCACTGTAAACGAATTAAAATAACCTCATGGATCACCTCACAGGGATGTCGTGAGAATAAAATAACACTGTGGAAAAGTTGAAGTGTTTCTAAACTTAATTGAGCACTGGTGCCTAATGACTAGGCACCTAATGATTGGTGCCGACATTATTTACCTTTCTCTATATTGAACCATTGAAACTGATGGTGACTGGAACTTCTGCCTGCTTTTAAGAGGGGTAGGGAAGTATGGATAGAGATGGGAGAAATTTATTGGAACCTTTGTTACTATAACGTTAGTCCTGGTTCAAAATGTATATTGTCCTGCTGAGAATTTAATCCCTTAAATTGTTTTCAGGACCAGTGGTATCGAATTAGCTTCCAGGTAAAAATATAGAATCAGGAGAAACTATGTTAACACCTAAATTCATGATTTTCATACTTAAATGACCTACGTAGTAGAACTTAACCCCTCTCATTACATGAGGAAATAGTATTGATTCAATGTGGAAGGTTGCTATAAGAAATAACTCTACCTAATAGTAAAAATCAGAATCATCTCAGCATGGGACCACCCACTGACAAAATTGATCTGGAATTCTGTTTTCCCTAGAATGTTATTATCAAGGGTCAGTATGATTCTTACATGCAAACCATATCATTTGTAGGGACTTAAAGGCTCAAAGGGAGACGTGGGGGACCCAGGTATGCCAGGTGAAAAAGGAGGAATTGGACTTCCTGGATTACCGGTATGTTTATACTTTTTAGGTTGTGTTCATATTAAGATAAATTAAATAATCAAAAAAGAGTTATATGATTAGCTGCAGTCTCATCTAGTGGTTAATATTACATAAAAATGTAATATTTTTATTTTTAAATATTTGAGGTATTGTTGGTAAATGACTCCAACTGGGCCACTAAAACAAGTTTTAAAGCATCTAACCAAATGAGTTATAAAATAAACCTTCATGTTTTCCGGAATTATTTTCATCAGAAGATAGTAAAATGAATATAGTTGATCACTTTAATTTGGTATGCATAGAATGGTGGTAGCTGGTCATTTTTAAATAAACTATAATAAAAAAATTAACAAACTAAAAAATATAAAACAATTTAAAAACAAGTTACTCTTGAAAAGTGTTCTCTTTGTGTGAATGGAATGGTGTTTTTATGGTTTTACCCCATAATTTCTACTGAGAATTTGGAAGGAAAAATAGAAAAAAATGTAGAAAACTGCACTGCCCTAGATCTATTTTAAAGCAAGGAAGTGTATAAATAAATGTCAATGAAAACTAAGTTAAAAGACTGAACTTTGCTATTTAAAGTGAGCACCATCATAAGAAATAGAACATTTATAATCTGATATATTTAACAATGTATAAGTTTAACCAATCAAGCCTACCCTAGTTTTAATTTACTTTATATTTTATTTCACATATCACCCACAATCCTAGAGATTTGGAGAAGCTTGCTGTTTGAGATTAAAATGCAAGGGGATAAATCCTTCTTTTATATATCATGTGTATAATGTTATAAAAATTTCAAAAGAATGATGGGTCTTACACTTTGGGAACAACTTTACCATCTCAACTCTTACTGGTTATTTGTAGGGTGCCAATGGAATGAAAGGAGAAAAAGGAGACTCCGGATTGCCAGGTCCTCAGGGTCCTTCTGTAAGTCCATGGCAGCTGAACTCCCATGGTTCCTAAAGAACTCTGAAACAGACCTTTTATTTACCCAGTTCGACCTGTGCCAGATGGCTTATCAACAGTAGAAAGACCGTGAACCTCTTAGTTTGTCAAACTGTAGAGAATATGTCTGTCGGCCTTGTACAATGAGAGACAAATTGTCTCAGAGGTCTGAGTTAAAAGCAGTTTTTTAGGGGACTCTTTAATCATAAGGAGAAAATCAATGGTTTTCCCATAATGCTTTTGGGTAGAGCTTTGTGAATACAGAACATACTTTTTTTTTTTCTCCAGAGCCCTGTTGCTACTCGGAGAAATAATTTGAGAGTTTAATAGTGGTTGTGGCATTATAGCATTTCTTGGTAATCAGTTGCTCTCTTCTCTTTTAATGTACTTTAAATTTATTCTGGTTTTTGTAAAACAACTGTATTTTTTTAAGTGGTTTTTTTTTTTTAATTCTCATGAAGGAATTTCTAAAGGTAAAGAATCAAATGCATCACTTCTTCTAGTATTCTTCCACTGCAGCTATTAATGGCCTTAGCAGAACGCCAGCATAAGATTCAAGCCAAACTGCCTTATCTAAATCAAGTAACCAAATCCTTGTTTATGTTTTGGACATACAGATCATAGGCCCACCAGGCCCACCAGGCCCCCATGGCCCACCAGGCCCCATGGTAAGCCTTTCTTCTCTACAAAATGTAATCATTTATTTACAAGCATGCTACTAGAAAACAACAAGAACACCATCCCTCAAAACAGCCAGTTTGTATTTTGTGCTACTCTCTGGAATGGACAGAAAATACAAGGTGCTTTGAGATATACTGACTTTATTATAGTGCTGTCTTTCAGTCCCCCAAACGCATCTCTTGAAAAGAGATAGAGTAGTTTTGTGATAGGAGACTTGAAGGTAGATTTAACAAGCTTTACTCCAACCTACAGTATGTACATCAAAAAATCATCTTAACCAACCACCGTTTAGGCCATTAGTAGCATAACAAAATTAATAATTGTAGCCATTAATGAATGTGTCTAACCAACTTTGGTTGAAATCCTTTAATGAGATGTTTGATAGGAACACTTATAAAATAATATGGTAAAAATTGAAGCTCACTTCCACAGATGACATGTCTTGTTGCTTCTTTTTCTTCTCATCCTTATGGTACTCTGGTGGATCCAGTGTTTACTACGAGTATAGCTCAGTGACCAATAGAGTCAATGGCCATGCTCTCATAGAACCCATGTCAGGTGCCGAAGGCAGCCATTAAACTGGTGTCATTCTTAAAATGTCCACCCAATGGCACCAGTGTTAAAGCTAGAACGTAGAAGGCCGAGTGCTTCAAATGCCTTTGACTGGGGCAGGACTCAGACAAGGTAGGCAGCCTCTAAGGTCACATTCATCTCTAAGGTGTCTCAATAAACCCCATGTCTTCAATCATACCGATTAAATAAACCATGGGTCACTCTTTCCTCCTGTTGTGCTCTACGAAAGAGTGTCACTGAAATGATCTAAGCCACAAAGCATAGCCGTAGACCCAATCATCTATTTCTTACTAACTGCCATTTCTATTTCATACCACAAAAAAGTTATAATTAAACTTATTTTCTTGAAACTAAACAATTCATTAAGAATTAAATAAATGGCATACTTTGGGCTTTTTTTAATACTCCCTCCACTTTAAGTTAGAAAATTAAATTTTAAAATGCTATATCCTGTTCATATAAAATCAATCACTTTAAAGGGATGTTACACCATTACTGAAATAAGACTACTTGATAAAGTAACAGCCATTTCCTGAAAATGCTTATCTGCCACTTACCTAAAGGGAAAATATTATTCCAATACAGACATATGTAACAACTATCTGTATATTGTTTGGTAAAAAACTTTTTCGTACTGTTGTATGATTTCGCTGTTGGGTATTTAAATACTCCTCTCTCCAAAGAGTTCATTTAAATCACTTGAAAAGTTTAAAACAACCCATAATAATCTTAAGCTAATCTAGGTTGGAAATTAGTCTCTATCTATAGTTAGATTTTCCACAAAATACAGGGGAAAAACCCTGATTCATGTATGCATTATAACTTCTTTCCACTGGTAAACAACTATTACAAGAGCCTTGAAGAATTCATCTTTGTAAGAACAAATGCATTCTAACTAATAATGCATAGTGCTCCTGTATTAAAATACTTTCCTTAGTCTTAAATTAAATTAATTAAATTAATTAAATTGCAACAGGGCTCCAAACTTGACTGTCATCTCCTCATTTCCTTCTTCCTTTAGATTCCTCTTGGGTTGGAGGACTCAATAATGTAAAAGGTCTCCTCTTCATCCATACTTAAAGTTTGGAACTTTTCTTTGGCAAATTTCTGTATTTTAAGACCTACCTCTATTCCATATAAACTCATAACATGTTTCACATTTTCCACCTAGATTTTATAAAAATGTGGATTTGAGAAATAGGGGTAGTATAGTCACAGTATTTTAAAAAAATTTTTTTCTTCCACATAACCCTGGCAGATTTCTCCCTCCCTCTCACAGGTATTGAGCAGAAAGAATTGCTGTTAGTGAATTTCCAATTACAGAACAATCCGAGAGCTAGAAGGAACTTTCACTAGGTGATAGCATCCACTGGCTTGCTCCTAGCTATAGCTCAAACAGGAGGATTCTTGTTATACATCTCTTTGGTTATGCTATACAATAATCACTTCTGCTAGGAAATAGTGAATCAATTCTTAATTAAAATCTGTGTTTTTCATTTTCAGGGACCCCATGGACTTCCTGGACCAAAGGTAATCCAAAAAAAATCCCTTGATTATTTGATTTCTGTTTCTTTGTTAATCATGGAGAAGCATGACGGAAGCATGTCTGTCCTGTCTTATTTATCTGTCAAGTAATGTTGATAATCTTTAAGCCTTTAAGTATCCAGACGAGATCGGGCGCGTTCAGGGTGGTATGGCCGTAGACAAGCCTTTAAGTATCCAGATGTTTAAATCTCACAACACAGAATGACTTACAACAAATTTAAGTGTTATCACCTGGAGATGAATTATTCCTCATTTTGCCTTTTTCCATGACACTATGTAAGTTTCTTAAGTTACTAATCATAATATACTCAAAATCAACAATTTAGAAGTGAATCTGATGAGATTCTCAGACTAGTCCAGATGCTCTTTCTTATTATGTATCGTTAGTTGCAGATTCAGATGTTACTGGTACTCCTTGTTTGTCATATAACAGTACTGCATCTAAATGCTTTGACTATCCAACATCTTAATTTTGTGCTCCCCCAGAGATCACTGGTCTAGAATGGGGTGGGGTGGATCAGGTGTGCTCTAGTGAAGAGAAGATTACATCACTTACATGTATTTTATACTCTGGATTAACAAGAAAACAATAGAGAATACCCCTCCTTGTCAGAATTAGTGCAGTTTATGTTGTAAAGATGGTTTGCACCTGTTCTCTGCTTTTGTGTAGACCAAGAGGACATTTTGGAAGATTAAAATGAGCCCTGAAAGAAAGGTTCCTTCTTCTAGAGAGCGTATGTAATGAGTACCTATGTTCTAATCTCAGCTTTGACACTGATAGGCTGTGTCACCTTGGGCAGACTATTTACCTGCTCTGATCCTTTGCTTACTCAACTAGGCAACTTACCTCCTAGTGTTGTGATAATTTAATGAGGTATATTTATAAGATACTTAAGCAAAATATCTGGTGCAGTTGTCGATAAACACCCAATAAATGTCAGTTGTTAGCATCTTGTGATTTTATGCTTTGTTCTGAATTTAAGAATTCAAGGGGAAAAATGCATGAGAGAAGCTTCAAGCACTCTTGAAAGCTCCTCAGGAGAGAGTTGGTGCGTTTAAATGGTGAGGGGTAGGAGAACACATAAATGCAAGAGCTAGAAATGAGAAAGCTTAGGCTTCCCCTGGCCCACCCAACTTTAGGAGTGTAGAAGTATTGGTCTGACCCCAGAAAACTAAGTTTCATTTTTGGGGTCAGGCAGGTGACTCACTCAAGAATGGGAAGAGTTCATGCCTCTTCATAGAACACCCTATCTTCTGGTAAGAGCAGTGTGTGACAATGTCTCAGAAGTATGGATTATAGTTTGGGGTAAGGGCATTGTTTTCTGGGGGTCAGAAGAGAGAGCCCATCTATCAGCTTTGTGGTCTTGGTAGTTATCTAAACCTCTCTGGGTCTCTTTTCCCCACTCTGGACTAAATCAGTAGTTCCTACTCTAGGCTTCTCCTTGGATTTCAAGGCACCACTTAAATCATAGACTTCAGAAAATTATAAAGTTGAAAAGACCTTATAGGTTACCTGTGCTCATTCCTTGATTTTACAGATGATAAACTATAGGCCCATGAAATTTAGATCATTTGCCCTGAGTTACACTGCTAATTAAATGACTGATCTGGGACTGGAACTTAGGTCCAGAGTTAGAATTTGGTCTTTCTGCCACTACATTTGATTGTTTATAAATTCACCTTCTCAGTTAATGCCCACTTGTGTCAATGTATGATTCCTCACCACAGAATTTCATGACCTAGCAAGGCAGCCCTGCCTATTCATCATCACAAGACCTCTAGTGGAAAGTCCACATACAGGCAAAGCCATCAATCTCAAGTTGAGACCAGTTAACTAAAGCTGACTCTTGAGCCTTGGCCTTAACCTCACATTGACTTTAGCTCTGGGACATTCCCAGGATCACACTTCACCCACCACAGCACATTTGGACTTCCTATAGTGGCAGCACAGCAAACATCCTGCCTTCAGAATCCCCAGAACCCACCAGGTCATGCCAATGTGTTCATTACGTTGTGACCCCTTTGGAAGTTCAACGCTAAGTGGGGCCCTGGACTCTGTGTTTAACAAACATCACACTGACTTCCCTCAGTCAGACAAATGGGGAAAATACTGCCGAGGTTAGTAATTCCTCCTGCCACAGAAGCACACTCTCTCCCCGCTCCCACTCCTACCCAGCGAGACTCTATAGGGCATTCGAGACTGCATCTTCCTTTCACGAATCTTTCCAGACTTTTGTGATGAAATTAATGCCTTTACTTAAAAGTTGAAAAGTGGACAGGTCAGAACTCTTACCCCTAACATGTTGCTTCTGATAGAAAATAGTTGTACTGTATTCTTAGGTTTTTAAATATCAGAGTCAAGAGAATTTCTCACTTACCTTGACTTTTGTAATGTCACCTGAGGTTAAATTCCATCCTTCTTTATTTTAACATTGGATAGAAATACAGTTAGTAAAATTACATTTAAGCACTGTGGTCTTCATATTCTCTTCTGGGGTTAGCTATTTGTTGTCTATTCTGTGGATTAATCCATGTAGGGATCTGACTTGGCAATGTCAGTGAATGAGGACTCACTAAATGGCACTACTTCAAACATCAGCTGCTACATTTCTAGCTCATTCCCCAGGGCAAAATGCTTAAAGGCTTAAAATATCTGTATATAACACTGTCCTGCATATTCCAGTTTTTCATTCCAGCAGAGTGGGTTTTTCCTACTGAACCTCCTTCAGCATCCTCCACTCTGTCTTTGATTTGCTTGGTGAGAACAAGGTAGCATAACACCAGTTTCTCTGATATAGAACTGAAAACTGTAGAACTCAGTCATATGCATTTCAGTTGTAAAGAGTACACTTGCTCAGGAGTTTTGCTTCCTAGAATATTATTTGTCAATTTCAGTTTATTAATTTTTTTTAAATGTCTGAAATGAATTTTGAATGGATGCAAGACAAGTCTAGCCTGACTCTGCTGTTACCTAGAACTGGAATCTGCAACCATTTCAGAGACTGGCTCTCTTCTTTCGCAGTTGAAACACCCATGATAGCAACCAAAATTGGCATTTGCTTTTGCATTTAGGGTGAACCAGGGTTAAATGGTGTTAAAGGATTGAAGGGTGAACCAGGTCAAAAGGGTGACAGAGGACCCCTTGGTCTTCCAGTAAGTAAAGAAAACTTTCCATTTCAGTGCAAATCTCAGACTTTTCTTTCTACCCTAAGTAACAACTCTGGTTTACTCGGTGACTATCTTACATGTGAGATTTCTGTGACTGGAAAACATATTCTATTAGAGCAGAGCTCAGCCCAGTTTTGTTTGATGCCTGCTCTTGTGTCAGAGGAAGACCCCGTGACAAGCGATGCTCTAAGTGTTCTGTCATTCAATTACATACATGCCAACCTTCCTCTTCAAACACGGATGATTCTTCTCCCATCACCCTGCCCTTAAAAAAAAGCATTGTGCTGATTATGTCCTAATTTCTCCCAAATGTTTTAATAATTTAGTGCAGTTCAGAATCCTCCCTCAGTTTTTTTTCTCTTTTGATACCAAAAATTGTAGCCCTCTGTTGGGTGGCAGGTATGCAATTGGCCATTGCTGATGGCGTGAGGTCAGTGCCGTGGCTCCTTACATTAATCAATCCTATCATGGTCTCAATGTTTTGTGTTGTTTGTTTTGAAAATGCCCTCTTACCTGGTTCTTTTGGCAACAGTGGACAGGATGGAAGAAGTATTTTGCAGTAGTTTCGAGATTTTTTTTGAGATTTTTTTGTTTTTTATTTTTTGAGATTTTTATTTTTAGTGAAAAGGGAATTTTCATCTTGTATACACTTTATGCCGGTCTTCTTCCTATAACTAAAAAGAGATTTTTAAAAATGATTGTTAAATATGAGGTTTTAGTTTCAAGGTTTTAGCATGCTGACTATTCAGTGAATGCAGATAAAAGTCAGTAAAGAACATTATAAATTACGTTATTAAAATAAGACATAAAATTGGTAGAAAATAGTTTATACACATATTTTAACATATTAAAAAATGTTGGTACTTTAAGTTCTAAAGTATTCTACTCAGTAGCCAGTGCCTTACATAGATCAGGCACATAGTAGATGCTCAATATGTACTCGTTTATGAGTGAATGATATAAACCGTGTATTAGAGTATAGGTTAAATCACACCAATTAGACCATGGACTAGAGGCACAATACCTCTATAATATATGTGAGTCATTAATTCACATTCCAAACAAATATAATGTTATACTATCAGTACAAAATTTTACCATCTCCCTATTTGTTTTTAAATGTTATAACAATGGTGACTCTGAACAAAGTATCAAAAGGCAAAAGGAAGTTTGGGTTTCTGTTTTATTAAACCCTGAATCTGATTTCATTAAAGTTTGCCCTAATTTCATAGTTAGAGCTAGTGATAATTTCTATGCAATATTTAGTCAAGGCTCTACATATGTTAGCATTAAGCACCACACAGATTTTTAAAAATTTTAATCATTGCTAACTAAAGATGCATTTTGCAATTACAGTCTGACTCATAATAGAACTATACAGAAGAAATTGTAAAATAAAAAACCAAAAACATCCTAGTATATATATATAGCGTTATTGGTAGAGTTTGCAGCTGGAATAGATTTTTTCTTCCATTTTTTATTATTAACTATATCTGAAGCATAAAATGGGAACATAGTTCTTCAACCTTGCCAAGAGAATTTATAGGGCTAGTGTATCGTCTTTCTTAAATACTCCTTGATTTAATCAATATTTTTAAAGGACTATAAATCAGTATTTGAGTTTTGAGATACAAAAGACATATTCAAAGAAGTAATTGTGCTTATTCTTGAAACAAGCATTGAAAATGTCATATTTTAATCATACACTATGCATAGCTTGGAGTTCAAGGTAAAAAAAAAAAAAAAAGGCATGCATTGCCTGAGAATAACATTATATTTTTAAAGCATCTCCCCTTCAGACTTTGATGCAATGATTGTTTGAAGTGAATCGAGGAACAATTTTGTTTGTGACAGTTATTTATTGTTTCGACTCGTGATATTTTTTTCCTGCTTTTTCCTATTCCTAGAAGTCCCTCTAGTGGTAACTAATGTGAACACAGTAAGAAAACCCAGAAAACAATGAGAATTGTTCATGTAAAATCCACAGTCATTTTGGCATGGTGAAATTCTGCAGTTGTTATTCATAAGTGCTGTTTTAACAAGAAAAACTAGAGCCTTTTTCTTCTCCTCTGAAATGCTAACTTTGATTGATTATTATAATGAGCCCTTTCTTAAAATATCGGCCATTATGTTTTTTTCAAAACCTAAAGAAGTTTATTGTCAACAGTACACTTTTTAGAAAATGTGTATCATATGGAAATTAGCAGTCTGTGAATGTTACCAGTAACTACTTTAAAGCCCACTTTATAAACCTCATTATCTTGATTTCTAAACAAGAATTTGTCGAATGGAAATGTCATTAAAATGCCATCATCTGTGGGGTGTTTATTGTCACGTGTTTTGTTTCTTTTTTTAAACTAACAATTTGTAGCGATGTGATATTCATCCCAGAACCCCGTGACTGTGTATGATGTTGTTTGAAGCGTTACATTTGTTCATCAGTACCTCATACTAATCTCTGTTCTTGTCCTTCGTGTCATACCCACCAACCCTGCTACCAACCAAATACACAGGGAGCATCTGGCTTAGACGGAAAGCCAGGATCCCGGGTGAGTCAGTACCTCATCTTGCTCCAACATGTTTTGTGGCTATGAATTTGTGCTTTGGGACAGACTCTTTTGCCCCATGTACTCCCATCACGTGATGAGGGGGACATAAGACTGGAGTGAAAGGAGAAGGTGTACAAAGATGTGGTACAAAAGGGAAAGGTGGGCAGAACAGAGGCTGCAGCTCTGATTGACTCACAACCTAAACTGCAGGACATCCTTCGGAAGCCCAAGTTCCGGGCTGGAGAACTTGCTAGGTGGCAGGAATGACCAGTCTGATTAGCCTCACTATCTTAGAATCCCAGACAAATTTTTCCAGAGCTAATGGACATTTCCTATAGTTCCATGAGCAAGCTCCTCTGAAGGGATCAAAATAATGTGAATTTATTTGAATTTGCTCTTCCTTTTATGTTTCTGTCCATATTAAAAAGGTAAGTTCTACCTTGACACTAACTTTCAGATCTCTGTTCATCGAAAGACCTGTCTGTCTTCTGTCATTTTGTCTCTTTGGTTCTTAACAGCTCCATCTCTTAAATATCAGCCACAGATAATCAGTATTTGGAAGTCTTCTGAAGATGAACTTGGGAGTTCAGGCAGTAAGAAAAAGATCAGATAAGAGGATGAGAATTCACCAACATCAGAATGGGTTGAAGCCCTAAATGATTTCATATCACAAAGCTCTGATAGGAGAAAAAAAGAAGACTAGAACATAATAGGAATACTATGTTAAAAACCTATGCTGGAATAGTTCCTATGTTTGCAAATATTAGAACAAATTCTTTGCAAATAAGCGCAGTCTTCCTGAAAATGAGCAAATTACTTGAAGTCCTTGCTACATGTCTAAGAATCAAAAAGAAATTCCAAGCTCTTCAATTCTAAAAACCTGCTTCAGGCAGTCGTTGTTTTCACTGGACCTAGTGTTCCCATGTCCATTCAGTCTGAGACAGAAATCCTAATCCTGCACCAGGAGGCCAGGGGGCAATTACACCATTAAATCAGCCAGCTGCTGGGTTTGTGTCTTATAAGCAGCAGCAGAGCCTCTGAGAATCACTCCTTTCCTCTAAGCCCCCCGCTGCTCCCCGCAGAGCCGAAGGAAGTTTGGTTTGGGCAGTTCAATATTGTTCTCGGTTATTTCATATTTTTTTCCACTTGTGTGACCGTTCAAGCCTCTTAACCAGCTGAAAACAAAGCTTCGTGGCCCAGGAGCGTGGGGGTGACAGTGGGTGGAGAATGGACTTGGGGAAGTGGTATGAGGGGAAAACGACTCCGTTTCTCTCCTGAAGATGTTCCGTGAAGTCAGGGAGGAGGTATATAATTAAATCCAACTTCCATCTTCTCGTGTGTGCCTTTCGTTGAAATACGCAGTTACATAACTCATCCTTTCTGCATGAGTTTCTTGGAAACCACTGGCCTGAAAGAATCAAGTATAGAGCTCTTTGAAAGCAGATGAGTCATCTTACTTGCGTTCAAGGCATCATTCACCCAGGAAAAGTCCGGGATGAGTTATAACTGCTTTTCTTATGGCCCTTGGGCTATGTCTCATATTATCTTATTTTTATCTCTTTTTTTTTAGGGTACAGATGGCCCTATGGGACCCCATGGCCCCGCAGGTCCCAAAGGAGAAAGAGTAAGTTGCTCCTGAGGTTATTGAGCTGTGACCCAAAGAAAACACAGTGTGGCTTTTCTGTTTTAGTTGAACTGTTCATTCCCCAGAAGAAAAAAGGACCATCTAAAATATTAAATGAAAATATGCCATCTTAAGTCCTAATCAGAGTTCTCCCACTGATTAAAATAGAATGTGGCTGCCTTAATCAAAAATCATGCATACATCTATATAGCTAAAATAAATAGCTCAGACCATTCCTTCTTAACCCATAAGGAAGATATTTTCATTTGGCCTTAATCCAGAAAGTTGAAGTCCATGGGGCTAAAATATCCAGGACTACATATTTGGTTGACAATCTTTTATATAAAGCTACTGTATTCATTCAGAGTAAGTTATAACTTATTTTTTAAAGGAAATTACCAAACCTAAGTATTCTTCTCCACACAGTTACACATGCTCCTTTATTTATTTATTTTTTTAGCAGAAGAATAGGCTGCCTTTCTTTAGCCATAAGGAAATAATTTCAGTGCACTATAGAACAAAAACCTTTCACTAACCTCCCTATTGCTAGGCCCTGTTTCCATATCCTTGGGAGAAGAAAAAAAACAAAAACAAAAACAAAAAAAAGACTTTCAGAGCAGAAGATAAATATCTGACACCAAAAAATGTATTGCAGCCTCAGCAGCTGGTCATCTGTCTGGAACTTTTCTCCCCTCTTTCTGTTTTTCTCCCACTTTTTCTTTTCTTCACTTTGGGAAACTTGGAAGCTTTTTCTGTGTCTGAGCAGAATTGTGTCATCAATTTCCCCACCATCCAGGATAGGCCGGAAAGAAAGTGTCCTACGAGTAAGGGCTTCTAAATGTTGGGATGATTCATTGTGCGAGCTGCAGTCTTTTTAAAACTAGATAGAGTTTCTTCAGTCTGGGGTAATTTGCTTTAAAAATAGAGGGCCACAGAGTGATTTCTTTGGCATCCATCCCAATTCCATAATTCTGTGTTCTATAAAATGAGTTCCTTCATTCAGTAAATATTTATTACATTTTATGATCTATAAAACGACAGTGTACTCCTAGTGTGGAATGGAAGCAGTCTCCTCCCATTTGTGTAGTCTATTTTGCTAATTTGCTGCAGTGAATTGAATAACGCCATCATAATTGGCATTCGTCATCCTATAACCTTTTACTACTACACTGTATATATTTACTCAATACTGTAAAGGAAGCAGCTATTTTCTCTGACCTAGCAGAGTTTACAGTCTAACTGCAGAGGGAAAAAAATATCGGCAAGAAATAGCCAGATAATGAGACCAAAGTGAATACAAATAGCACGGACTGTATGTACAATGATGAGGAAGTCTGGCTTTATCCAAGAATGCTTCTAGAAAGAGGTGAGTCCTAAAGGAATAAATCATCTGACTCTGCAATTGTCTGATTTCTGAAATCAAACCGACTTACGAAGATCATCTTAAATAAAAATATTTAAAAGCGAAGAGCCTCATGCTGCTGACACATTCAAGCAGTGTCAAGAAATCCAGCCCATGTACTAAAAATGGAGCAGCAAATCTCAAGTAGTCTTTTGGCAGGATGCCCTCGGGGCTCAAGAGGGTTTACCGTTTGGTAAATCAGCTGCTACTTCCGAGCTCCACAGTGTCACAAGAGTATCAGGTCTCAGCGAGAGCAAATGAAGTCGCTAAGAATTTTTGAAGACATAGTTCAAGTCAAATGGTGTGCAGTGTAAAGTGTTACACTTGTATTTACTCAGCACGTTAACTATCTTAACTGGATCATGTATCAGTACTCTCCAAGTGCCCCTCACCCAAAGTGCTAAACTGGAGTGCGATTCTCCAAGTTAATTGACTGAGGGGCCATCTGGACTCTCCTGGAAAAGTTTCCAGTTTTAAAGAGGGAGGAATCAGGAATCCATTGGAGAAGAATTCCTCAGTGTAGACATGCAAATTAAAGAGCCTGAAAGAAATGAGATGGGCCTAAAAGAAACCAGGCATTCTACAGTGTCATTCAGTAATGTCAAATACGTGAGTGACAGCGTGAGCCCTTCAAGGACCTGATGGTCTCCCTGCCTTGAGCTGATTTCTTCATCTGGCCTTAACTGCTTTGGAACTCTGTGAAGGGTGTTAAATTTGAGAGGTTCAGAAGTTTTTCAAGAATTATTTATTTATTTATTTATTTATTTATTTATTTATTTATTTATTTTTAAAGATTTTTTATTTATTTATTTGACAGAGAAAGACACAGCAAGAGAGGGAACACAAGCAGGGGGAGTGGGAGAGGGAGAAGCAGACTCCCTGCTGAGCAGGGAGCCCGATGCGGGACTCCATCCAGGGACTCCAGGATCATGACCTGAGCCGAAGGCAGTCGCTTAACCAACTGAGCCACCCAGGCGCCCCTCAAGAATTATTTAATCCAGGAGAATTCAAATCCCTATTTCGTTTGATATTTCATATTCAAATTAAAAATTTTCAAGGATGCTTTTGACTCTAAGTGACAGAATCCCAACTCAAAATGGCTAGGACAATAGAGAAATTCGTTGTTTTATATAACAAAATATTCAAAGGAGGGACTCTCGGCTCTGCTTCTGTGCCCTTTCCACATGCTGGCTTGGTCTTCTGATCATGCAAGCTGGTCACAGTCCCTACAAGCCTCCCCTCCGGTGAGGCATCCGCAGAGAACCAACACACATCATCTTCTCCCGTGTCTCTTCCTTAGCAGCACGAGCAAACCTTCCCCATCGCCTCCCCTCAGACTTGCCCCAGCACCTCATTGGCCAGAATCGGGGCATGTGTCCATTTCTGAAGCTGTCACTGGCAAGTGAAATGGAATTGACATTACCTAAAAATAATTATTTGGGATGAGCAATTCTATAAGAGCAGTTCCACAGACAAATGCTTTACTGACAACTTAATTCAAACAAGCCATGGTGTATACATTTTAAAAACACAATAAAGCTGAAAGTACTCTGTCAGAGGAGGAAAAAGGGAATAGTTATATCAAAAAAATCTGTGGAGAGTTTTCAAACTAGACCTACTCCAGGTTATGTGAGCTTTCCTTTTAAAGCCCCCACCTCCTACTACACCGCCCACTCCCCTGCACACGAACACATATACACCACCACCACCACCATTTAAGAAATCATAAATAGGGGCACCTGGCTGGCTCAGTTGGATAAGCGTCTGACTCTTGGTTTCAGCTCAGGTCACAATCTCAGGGTCGTGAGATCGAGCCCCGTGTCAGGCTCTGTGCTCAGCATGGATTCTGCTTGAGATTCTTTCCCTCTTCCTCTCCTTCTGTGCACTCTCTCTCTCTCTAAAATAAATAAATAAACAAATAAAATCTTTAAAACATCATAAATCACACGGCCAGATCAAACTGAAAGAAATTTAATTTGAATGGGTTGCCAAACCCTTGTTGTTAAAAACAAGACCTCTAACTGTATATTAATGACAATGGCTACTATTTTGGGGACATATTATTTGGTGACATATCATTTCATATTTTACAATCACATTTAATCTTCAGAAAAATTCTTGCAGAATATGTATTATTATTCTTATCTAACAGCCAATGAAACTCAGGCATAGAAAGGTTAAGAAAGGTAGCTAAGACCACAGAGTCAGTAAGTGCCAAACTGGAATTCAGATTTAAATCTGTTTCATTTCAAAGTCTGGCCACCTTCCTGAATGGGATTGCTGATCTCTCGGTAACAAACATAAAGTAATGATGAGTAGAAGTTCAACAAGCTTTTATCATATTTATTTTCAGTACTCTCCCTACACGATATGTGCCTCTAGGTGACAGTGTTCATTAGTCCCACCAACCCCTAAGTTTAGAAAGAAGAATGTGAATAGTGACTTGAAATTTGCTCACACGGGAATCGGGAGTACAGAAACACACAGCATAATACTTGCATCAGCAAATGCAGCTACTAGAGGAAGTTTGCATTTTAACCATGAAAAAGATTTGCTAACCTTTAAACTTTAAGGGTGTGATAGAAGAAGGTAACATTTTCTTTTTGGCCACTCATATAAATCACCTGGGTGGCTCAGTCAGTTAAGCATCTGCCTTCGGCTCAGGTCATGATCCCAGGGTCCTGGGATCGAGCCCCAAGTCAGGCTTTCTGCTCAGTGGGGAGCTGCTTCTCCCTCAGCTGCTCCCCTTGCTTGTGCTCTCTCTCTCTCTCTGTCTAAAAAAAAATATGTATATATCACCATTACTCCTGAAGTTTGCATGCTAAATCCTGACAAACACTTTAATTTTGGAGATGGCAGCAGAAGAAAACACTACTTGAAATGCAGAAGATCTCTTTATTATTATTTTGTATTCATGGGATGACCTCCAATCTCACGTTATTCTTTATAAGCCCTCAAGATTATCATTATCACATATATTGTTATAGCTGGAGCAAAAGATTCTATTTAAATAGGCACGTGGAGAGCAAGTGATGAAGGTCATATATGCCTACCTTCTCAGGCATTTAGAAGAAGGCACAGAAGTTTTTAAACTCTCTTTTTCAGAAAGGAAACAAAACATGTACAGGATTGTACTGATTTGACTTGATTAATTCAACAAATATTTACTGATGCACCAGACACTACTGTGATCCGTGAGGATGCAGGAGGGAGCCAAACCAGAGGCCCTGGCCCCCAGTGTGCATATTCTAGTGAGGAGCTCAACAGAGAATAAAACTCACCCGTGTCTGCTTGTGTGGGAGGCTATAAAGTAAAATATACCTTGGTAAAGGGCCAGGGCGGCCAAGGAAGAGGCTGCCAAAGAAGAGATATTTGATAGGAAAAAAAGACATTTTATTCTTATATTTTAAAAATGTAGTAACTTAAAATAGTAACAAATAAATGTTTCACACGAATGCCAAAGAAACCCAAGTACAGCACTCCAGAATATGCAAGTCATTTGCACAACTGGGCTGCAGCACTCTTACTGCCCTTCTTTCAGAGGTAATTTGATAAAATATGCAAATGTGGGTTTCTTTTTTTCCCTTTTTTTTTAAAGAGTTTATTCATTTATTTGACAGAGAGAGAGAAAGAACACAAGCAGGGGGAGCTGCAGAGAGAGAGGGAGAAGCGGGCTCCCAGCTGAGCAGGGAGCCTGACGTGTGGGACTCGATCCCAGGACCCTGGGATCATGACCTGAGCCGAAGGCAGACGCTTGACTGACTGAGCCACCCAGGTGCCCCTAAATGTGGGTTTCTTTTACCTGATCACTGACAGAGACCCCAGAAGAGCCTGCATCATTGGAATCTTGATAGAATGGTACCTCACGTGGAGGCTTTATATACAGGCCATTAGGGAAAGTGTGTGAATATAGGCATTTGTATATGATTTGAACTTTATGGCTTTCATTTTAGGGTGAAAAAGGAGCTATGGGAGAACCCGGACCCAGAGGACCCTACGGTCTGCCTGTGAGTTCTGTCTCTTGTCTCCACCTTCAGCATGCATAGATGACCTGACACTGGCACGGTTAACCCTTCCCTGGGGGGACAGACTGATCACCTTAGAGGAGCAAAGAACCATCCACTAGTTCTCCACAACACCAGTGTTACCATGTCCTCGATGGGTCATAGTCACATCTATTCTCCCACTCACATACAGACACACACACACACATCATGAGCTTGAGAGGATCAGAGATTGTCCACAAGGTACAGACCTAACCTGAAAGCAGGACTCCCACTGTCAGAAACCACCCTCTCTGTACCATCTGACTAGACGCCCATAATTGGCACTTCCTCAGAAGGTCGCTACCAAAAGTGGGTGGGGAAGTTTTATGTAAGACAACTCTCTTCAGACTTTATCTGTTCTCATAGGTTACCTACTAAAACTCATCTTGCTAATAAAGGTGATTTCTCACATTGATTTTTACAATGACTTTGACGTTTCTGACCTAACGCACTGTAATGACCTCTTTAGAACGTAGAATGTTGATAGTGGCCTGCCTTCTGAAAATTCTGTTATACAGTCTTCAAATTGAGGCTGCGGGCACGCTTCAGAACATTCCCTTTGGGGTAATTATAACTAATTCGATAGGGCAGGGTAGGGCTACGATAGAAACATATAGTATATTAAGGTTTTTAACCCCTGTGTGCCTACCACATGCTTTATTCCTTAGTTTTTGTGAACCAAAGTAATAAACTTAAGCCAGGATTAGTGCTGGCTGAAAGAGATGCTGATTTTGAAATAGATTTCAAAATCTAATTGTCAGAATTAAAGCAACTTCCCAGTAACTTTGGATGGATCCATTGTGTGACCCAATAGGCTCATGGCCCCAGTAATCTGCACCACGGGGGTAAATTTATCAAGCACAACAGTCTGGTGGCTCCTTTGTATCTGGGAATTATTTATTGACAAAGCTTACTTAAAAACAGTTTTTAAATCGTGACACACCCTCAAAATTTATAGACAAGGTACACATCTAGCCAAGTTAAAACTATACTTAACAATAAACAGTTTTCACATTCTTTTCTCATTTATGAGCCAAGTACTAAGTTACCAAGTGGAAGCAGTATTGATTTGCATATTTTATTAGTGCTGGTATGTTTCTAAATCAACTAACTGGTATTTGTGCTTTCAACTTATTCCTGGATTGATCAGTTGGATGCCAAGCATTAAACTTCAGCGAAATATCAGGCTATGTAAACTAATCTATAATAAAAAAATTTTTATGACCCTTCACTGCAGCATTAATGGTCACTTCACTTGATTTGGTGAAAGAAATTTGTATTACTAATCAATCAATAAAGACTCTTTTTCATATTTCTGAAGTAGTTGTTCTAATACTAGTGTTGCATGTCCAGGCAGCCTTAAATAAAACAATAACAATAACCTATTCATGAAACTTAGGAACACTAACGTAGCTACTATGGTTCTTTGGCAGGGGAAAGATGGAGAGCCTGGTCTTGATGTAAGTAATACATGTACAATGAACATCTTCCTATTATAATAGATGCTGATGGTCTCCATCATCAATAACAGCAAAAATACTTTTTTTTTCTGTGCACATAGTTATGCATACAGCATATATTGCTGTGTGTGTAGATTGCAATATAAAATACACCACCAGTGTCTGCATGAGATAAACAGAAAAGCAAAACACATAATTAGTATAAAGTTAATAACCAACAGTTGATAATGGCACTTCAAAATACTTTCCCAAATTAGGGACACCCTGAACATCAGCAGTTGAACCACTTATTTAAAAATATGCATAAAATTGAAATATCTTTCATATGCCACCCTTCGGGAATGGTATACTATGTTTATTCTCAAAGCTGCTATGCAATATTTTTTTCCTCTTAGCATAAAGTGTCTATGTTTTATAATAACATAATTCTATAAAAAATAGAGAATGTCAAAAGTAAATGCCTCTTGAAATGATCACTGTATTATGTGAATATCATAGCAGCCTTATTATGTGAAGAATAATAATAGCAAAAGTAATAATAGTTAACTTTTTATTAAGCACCTGTTTGGGGCAAGCATAAAATGCCGTGAGGTAAGTGATTTGCCCAAGGCCACACAAGTCAGTGTCCTTGCTAGGAGTCAAACTAGGATCCTGATATACTTTCCACTATATATATCTTAGGAGAAAAAGCAAGAAATGTGTTTCATATAGATAATTGAGATGTTAGACAACTATTACTCCTAAGCTATTTTAACTATCTAAGTTTTGAGATTCTTGGGGGGTGCTATTTTTCTTCATATTTGCATTCAGGAGCACGGAATCTTACATTTTTTTAATGTGATTTTGCCACAGTTACATCAGTAGATCTCTTTGGTTTGCTTTTTATCCTCTAGGGCTTCCCTGGTCCACGAGGCGAGAAGGGTGATGTAGGAGAAAAGGGAGAAAAGGTGACCTCTCCATTCTAGCATGTGCCTGTTTGATTTTTCTCATGCCGTGTGCTTTGCTGTTCAATCTATGCGATTCTTTCATATATCTAATTTTTCTCCATCCTGTGCCCCAAAAACACACCAGTGCCTGATCTAAAAAAGCCAGGTCTTCACAGAGGAATGAAGAAGGCTACAGTGCTAGAAATAAGGGCACAGTCTAGCATAGAAGAAAAAAATTGGCAGGCTTACCTGACACCAATTTATTGAAAGATGTAATGTCCAGGGATTCTTGAAGGTGAAATAAAAAGGCATTTGTTACATCAAAGTAAACTTAAATAGCACAAATCTGCAAGGGTCTTCTGGCAGAGCTCACCGAACCCTGTAAAGCCAGCAGCTCGTTTTTATGCTCAGCATTCCAGTAGAGTTAGTAGACGTGTCCTGTATCCTAATTTTTTTATCGGAAAATGGAGGGAAAGCACTGTGACTGATAAACCCCAGTGAGTTTATCAGGGACTAGGACTTGCCACTTTCAGATGCTCGAGATATTTTTAAATGAAGATATTAGTGTATTTCATGAGGCTGGTGTTCAGGTTCTATCTCGGGACCACCGGCCCCAGGGTATATAGCAGCCAATATCAGGCAAATTGGTTTTATGTCTGAAAGCAAAATTTGGATAATGGATTTTTGAAATCATTTCCTCCTTTCCTCTCCCCTTTGCTTGGGTCCTTGAATAGTAATTGTTTACACTGGACACAGCAAAAGAAGTAAAAGTGGCTGAAATTGTACCTTCCCACTTCCAATTTAAACCAATTGTGTTTCTCAGGTTAATTTATGTCCTGCTGTACTTAACAGTTTTCAAAACCCTATAAATTCTCTCTAACCATGAATTTGATTGCTGTTGAAAAGCAAGGTCAAATTAGAATTGTCAAAGAAAGAGGGGTATTAAGCCTGCTGTGTGTTCCTTAGGCTTTAGACATTACCTAGCTTCCCACTGGTAAGAGAGCTCCTGTCATAGTTATGTAAAAGCAAGATCATCATCATTATCAATATCATCACATTTATTGAACACTTACTATATGTTTCCCCAAAAGCTTTACATACGCCAAGTCTTTTAATCCTCGTAACAACCCCCCCTGAGATTGGTGCTGTTATTGTCCCCATTTCACAGACAAACTGAAACATAAAAAAAAAAATTCCTTTATTCTGAATTATAAATACTAACTATAAAATATGCATGTTTTGATTTGAGATAATTGTGCATGCAAGCTTTTGGCCCAAGGTCGAGGTGCTTTAAAGATTATAGACATTTATTTTATGTTTATTTAATGGGTTGTATGAGTCTAAAATCTTATTCACTCAGAAGTATGTCACCATTATGGGGATACTCATTTTAATGATCTTTCAAACAAAGAAGAAATTACCAGTATTGTAACTTATGAAAACACAAAGCTATAAATTTATTCCTCAGAATAATGTTAATCACTCATACAAAAATATTTCCATATTTTAGATTCCATGATTAGAAGTTTTATATTTAGGAAAATTAGATTCAAATGGGAACACTTTATGTATATCATTCTTTGACATGGGAGATAAAAATTAGCAAGAGCCCTCATGTGCTCCTAGGAACACAAGGGCAGATAGTTTTGTGTTGCATAGGGAATCACTAACTGTTACAAAATTATGTTGGTTCATAATAATGCTGATTCATTGTTCTTTGTATAAAAGTGTCTATTTTCCATAAAGCTTGAGGTCCGCTAACATATTACTGAAAAATGATTCCTGTAGCCTGTTAGAGTCAACATTCATATGACAACACTTTTCTGGGGAGTGATTAATTTCAGTTGGTTTACCAAATAATGAATTGAATTCTAAATTATCAATACCCAACACACCTGTCTCACCTATGTGATGAAGAGTCCCCTGCCTTCTGGGAGGGAAAAGCTCACCCAAACAAGTTTAAAACAATTTTACGTCGTGACATTGAAGTTATTTGCTGAGGATGTTGACGGATCCTACATGAGTGAGCAAGTTAGTCCTGAACGATCCTCCCAGCTTACTTCCTGTCACACCTGCTCTCATTTCACCCGGATTCTCAGGTCTTCGTCTTTGATCATGATAAACTAAACAACACAGAATTTCTCTTTCCCCAGTATTCAAGAAACCCAAGTGTTTTTGATTCTGAGCCTTCTGATGCAATCTTTTTGGCACACAGGAGACAAATGAGGAGCTTTCACTCACACAGTCAGAATGAATGCATTAATTTGAATGCTTATCTCATATATATCTTATGTATATGTCTTTGAATATTCATGTTGTTTCGCTTCTGAAATTATTCACTTTTATTGTAACTGCCTTCCTGAGTGTGGAATGAATACACTAATTTAAATATGTATTGCACAGTATTTTGTATTCTGTACAGCACCAACTTCTTGTCTATAAATATGCAGAGATATTTATGTTAATAAGAAACAGCTGAGGTGCATTCCTTCCTTCTCCTCCTTTTGCCTCCTTTCCTTAATTCCTCCATTCCCATGATCCATGCAGATTTCCACAACCTTTACCTTGATTCCTAAATACTAATTTCCATGGCTACATTCCCACTATGTAATTATCCTGCCTACCTCATTTTTAGCATTAGCTCAACTGAGTCCAAACTGCTTTTCCTCTCTTGAACAGAATTTTTTTTTTTTTTTTTTTTTGGCTTTTGGCTTTTGTTACATTGTGAGTAGGCTGGAAACCCATTTACCATTGTGAACACCTGGCATGAGATCTATAAGAGTGAATTAAAGAAAATCCCTCGATTTATAGATAAGCCCGTTTCTCCAATTGGCATTGCTGAGAAGTATTAGCACTTTTAAAATTTGTTTACCTGACTTAATAAAGAAAGTATTTGCTTTTAGTTTCCTAAAAAAAAAAATGTTAAAAGAAAGAGAAGCATATTTCAATATACTGAATATTTTTTTAAATGAGAGCTATAAAAAATAATGTCATAAAATTGGATACATTTCCAAAAGATAGAAGCTGTTAATATTCTGTCCTTTTCGTCCGGCTCAGTGTAGCTTTCATCTGTTATAGAATTAGAAAAAAAAAGTAAGCTGACAGTATTGAAAATTGGGTGAAGTATTCATTATTCCTCTGAATTTGACCTGCCACCGGCTGGCTCCCATACAGTTGGTATCCATCATCCTCGCCGGATCTGCAGCGGAAACACCTCATTCACCAAGACTAGGGTGCTGGGGTCTAAGTCAGCACTTGATGTGTTTGCTTTTTAAATCTCCTTCTTTCATCTTGTTGAGTGTCTTAAGTAAAATCGCACCTATCACTGCCCAGAATCCATTGTCACTTTGAAAGTCTACGTTATCTTTTATAATATCATGCCTTACCTAAACCAGAAAACAGTGGTAAATGACCTTCCAGACGTTTATTGGCTAAACCATCTTTTGAATCGCCATTATTTCCCCCCCAAATAAAACCTGTCTTTTATTTAAACCCTTATATCCACAGGGGGAAAAGGGAAAGAAAGGCAAAAAGGGGCCTAAAGGGGAGAAAGGAGAACAGGGTGCTCCTGGATTAGATGCACCTTGCCCGTTGGTATGTCTGACTCATGGAACTCTGTCTCCATCCAGATATCATGTGTGAAGGAATAAACTGGGAGAAGAGCAAATTGGAGGGACCCGTAACAGCAGGGGTTCTGATTGGGGGTGTTTAACAGAGGCTTCAAGGGACCACACGCATCTATCTCGGGCTATCCCGGTATATTCCATGCCTCGTTTCTGGCCACCAGCTCTGTTTGGTTTCTTAGCACTCAGATACTGACGTGCAACTGGAATGTGACTGTAGCATCTGAAGACGAATTGGTGTTATTCCACACTATTCAAAAGAGAAAGTCACTGTTCCCAGAGAAGCCTTGATTACAGGGATAGGTCGAGCTCTTATTCCGTCCAGCTTCAGTGGATGTTACTTTGTCCTTCAGAGTTGCTCTTCTCCCAGCCTTTTGGTATTGTAGTTATTTCTTTAGCAGAATTTGTGCTTAAGTGATTTCTTGTGTTAGTAACGTTATGAGTTAATCTTTACAAACAGGGATTCCGTGGCGTTAAGGGGGAAAAAGGGGAGCCAGGCCAGCCTGGCCTGGATGGGCTGGATGCCCCTTGCCAATTGGTACAGTATTTCTCTTTCCTACCACCCTGCATGCAATTCTTTTGTTTATTACATATTCATTTCTATCAGTGTAAAGTGGTACTTCTGGAACAAGCTTTACATGATAAACACACTACATGCATGTGCATGAACAGCTCCTTCAGCATCTCTGCAGAGTGAAGAGAGCAAGCTCGCCTTTCCGTCAAAGACTGCAAATTAACCTCCTGACATTGTCCTCACAAATGACCTGACTGCCATGTCTGCATTCTGGGGAATATTAACCTACTCCAAAAATATTGAAAGAGTACATTCAAATGATGTAAAAATCTTCTATGTAAAGGGACTGTTAGGCCATGACTTTGGGTTCTATCCCTAAATTTAGCTCTCTCTCTTTTTTTTTTTCTTTTTTCTCTGAAAGAAGTAAAGACATTTTTGCCTCTTCCACTACATTTCTGTCAGGCTGTAAATAAAGCCAGACCGACAGAGTTAAGCTTCTGTGGTCAAGAGTTAACCAGTTCAAGGGAATGCTGTTAAGAGACCATAGGGAAGGAAACCAAACTTCCCTGAGCTTCTAAAGATGGTAATAGTCTGCAGCCCAACCCTCTTCTTTGTCACATAACCTTTTCAATGTAATGGTCTCTCCTTTTGAAACTCACTTTCCTAAAGTAGACAGAACTCCCCTATCCCCATTGGCATGAACTCAAAATCCTCCTTATACTAAAATCTAAAATTCTACTGGGTGACCCTCTCCTTGTACCAATCTGGCATTACCAAGTTTTTCCCAAATATAAAGCTATCTCAAAGTGGGTTTTCTTTTTTTAACATTTAAAAAGAAAGTATATTCATATTTTCTGAGGTATAAAAGAAAACTTTTTAGAGTTGTTTTATACTTTTTGATT